TAGGAGTCTTGAAGGATAATGGCGTTGAGCCTGTAGCCAAAGAGGACGGCGAGGTTGGAACTGGAGATTCCATAGGTGATACCTCAATACCGTAAATGGGCCAACTACGTGTTGTAGGATTGTAAATTTTAAGCCGAGAAATTTCTTAACCTTGAGGCGCTAGCCAGTTTGGTCCATAACCCAGCCGCCTAGCGCCACCAACTCGGCCTATTTTTAGCCCATTTTAGCCTTACTGGTATGACTTGGTATACCAGTAATACCATGGTATTGAGATTTCTTCAAACCATACCAAGTCTTGGCGGTATTTACCATACCAATACCAACTCATACCAGACCATTCCGATCACTGGTATGCCACAGTGCCCCGGGGAGGGCTGAGGACCAATCAGCAATATAGGAAGGCTATGGGGTTGCCGGCGCGGTATAGCAAGATAGAGCTCCAATGGTGTCTTAACTACAAGCAAATGGGGTCGCGTTTCAGGGAGAAATCCGGCACGAGAGAGTGGACTAAGGAGGAGCAGTTCAGTTATCTTGACTGGGATAAAGCTGAGAATGAGCGAGTTGAACAGAATGTAGGGGAAGAGATGGCAGAGAAGCCTTTTCCACAGCGGCGAGGGATGCAACATATCTGGGATGCTGCCGAGAGAGATGTTTTACAGCAGGGAGGAGGAGCCTAGTGGGAACGCCCCTTACTAACATTTGCAAATCTAATGGGAAATATGATTGATATGTATCGTTTGAATGAGAAAGAAAAGGTAAAACTCCGAGTGTAGGATTGGTGGTCCAATAGCTTGATTTGAGGAAGGTGTAGTTAAGTTCCAATGTAGGGTCAAGTAGGCTTGGCAATGCAGCACCAACAACATAATGCTACTTTTATTGAGCTATCCTACAATATCACTGCGTTCCCCGCCATATCCACTGAACATACGCATTCGAATCAACGCTCCAAACATGAATCCTTGAACCCTCTATCGCCCGGAGCTGTGGCAGGTTGTTGGTCATTCCTACAGCGGCCGTTGATGGAAGAGGCTCACTCACACACGCGGATCGGGCTTACATAACGAATCTTATTTGCACATCGGGATGTGCGCAAAGTCACGTGATATTAAACGCACAGCCGGATGTGCGTGTATGAGATCCCGCCTACGCGGGCGTCGTCTAGGCGCACAGGACCTGTGTGCTCGGGGCACAGACCCCCCTGTCAGCAGGCTAGGGGCACAGCCCCCTGACTAAGCATTTCCCGTTGAATTAGAAATTGACTGAATGTACTAACGCATTCAACGGAGCCGACAGCTACCCTTTGACTGTGATTATTGAAATAGGGACGGGAAGGGCTAACCAAATTATACACAGCTATGACAGCCGGAGAATGTTCAATGGCTTTGCTACCGAGTGACCGTCTAACACCCATGACTTCCAACAATGATACAATCTTCTGTGCGCCCACTAGCTAAGTGCAAAGCTTCTTGTTCCCTACTGTCTGCTTCTATTCTCTCCCAAATGTCTTTGACGCCTCTTCTTCTATTGGCCAAAGGATTGTCTCCCATCTCCTCGGCGACCCGGGCTTCAATCCGCTCATCCTCCGCCTTACTCCAATCCAAATACGCCATCATCTCCTCTTTCGTCCATTCTCTTGATCCTGTTGACGTGATACAGCGCTTGGACATCTGTTTGTAGTCCAGGCACCACTCGTAGCTCTGTTTGTCATACCTGAGTGGGAGCCCCATCGCCCTGCGATATTGTTGGTTCGTCTTGATGCTGCCAACTGGCTGCACTGCGTACCACGCGCTTCTTGCAGCAACATATCTTTCATATATTTCCTGTGGAGAATCGTACCTCGGTGGTGATGGCGATGGCCGGCCAAGCGAAGGGGGTTGCTCATGAACAGGAGATCCCGGCCGCCAGGGCTGCCGTCAGATCAATCAAATCAGATTAGGACGTAAATCTGAACTGAACTGATAATTTGTCCTCCATATCTGATCTGATTGATTGATTGATAGATATCTGACATAATAGGTCACGTGGAGCTATTCCCAGCCTCACGATTCTGCCCGTGGGATCTGACTGCCTTATTGCTTAAGCATAGCCCCCCCAGAGTAACACACCCTCCCCTTATCCAGTTCTTCAGTAATTGGATCGACTGAATGCTCGAGAGAATGTCGCTGTGAGCTGACTGTAAGCTTCGCAAGACTGAATGTTCTCTTGCAATCGGTTGACATGGCCGAGATTGCAAGGGCATCCAATGCAAATCTACTCAAACGCGGGATTGCTATGATCAATCCACCAAAGTCTGGCTAAATCTATGCCGTATCAGAGCGAGAGGTAGAAGAATGGGGTGATCTACCGTATTTACTCACGAGATTCGGAACGCCCTGTGGAGTCAACTACCCCTTCTTACGGCTGATTTAGCAGCATATAATTGGCCTTTTTGGATTTAACACGGCTATAATCGACTTTTTGAGAGTCTAAAAGGAATGAGCCACTTAGTACATGGCATTTGACTCCACAGGGCGTTCCGAATCTCACGAGTGAATACGGGTACCTTTAGATTCGCCTCTACCTAAGACCCCGGCAAGCAAGGGTCCAGGACCAATCAGCTCGGCTGACCCCTGTAACATCGTAGCTTTTCAGGAAGAGCCACTCTCTCCGGAGCCGGAACATACAGATGATCCGGCGGTTCTAGGGTAGCTGCTCTCCATTCAGATATATCAGATGTACAGATGCTTGTGTTTGAATTGATTGATCTGACGAAATTTCATATCTGATTTGAATTGATTGATCTGATTGATATATCTGATTGTTAATCTGATCTGACGGCAGCCCTGCCGGCCGCTGAGAGGCGCCACCGGGCGAGTCTTGCAAGGTCCCAGTCATAGTCTCCGGCTGATCGGCGAGGACTGCCGGTGCCGCTGTCATTGCCGATACATCTGTTTCTGCCAGTGCCTTTGCCTCTGCTGCTACCTTTTTCAAGAGCTCTTGATGCCGCAAGGGACATGCCTTCGAATTCATTTGGTGACCGACTTCATGGCATTTGCTGCATTTTGGCGGGGCCTTTGCCCTTGCTTTTCCTGTAGTCGCAGCGGCTTCAAAGGAGCTTGGTAGTCTTTTTGTACTTGATTGTGGCAGATTTGATATAGTAGCCCTTGCATCTATGCGAGTGCGAGGCTCCAGAAGTAACTGTTGCTGCCCTGGGCGCTTCAGATGCCAATGCTTGTGGAAATGCTCAAGAAGAAGAACTTGGCCTTGTTCTTGTAAGGTCTGAAGTAGGTGAGCGCAAGGCAATCCCAGTGTACGCATAAAAATACCAGTGCAGCGAGGCAGAGGGGGTTTTTTATCCAAAAGCCGCTTTCGTTGCTCTTCAACCTTCTTCAACGCCTCAAAAGATACCCAACCTTGAACAGCACTATACAGAGCTATACGAAGCTCAATTGGTTGTCGAAGTTGCTGTTGGGCTTGATTTGACTGTAGCTGATGGACCTGATTGGTAACAGCTCGTGTAATAGCACCCCAAGCCTCAAATAGATCTAGTGTCGATGTATTTAGATAGCTTTTAAGTAGACTATGAATACCTTCCACACGAGAAGTAACGACAGTACCAAAGTGAAGATGCTGATCAACCCAAGCTTTTACAAGCTTCTCCTTGTGAGGGTTTAGCCACGTTGCATGCAAATATCCAATCTCATTGGCGTAGGCGGGTAGATATCGCTGCTCAAGCTGCTGAACCCGCTGATCAAAGGTTACCTGATCAGCTGATTGAATGATTAAATGCCACTGGTTATAGAACTCTTGCCAGCTAAGAAGCTCTGCCTCGATTGTCTTTGGATCTGTTCGGTGTTGAATAAAGGCCGGCCGACAATAAGCAAGGACTGCCTTATTAGCATGCCAAAGGCATAATAGAAGGACTGCAGATGGAAAGCAGATAGCAACTGCATTTATACAAGCTAAAGCACAGTCCGTAATAATGACAGACGGAAAGCTTGTATTGCAGACCTCATATAAAGACTTCAGTCGTTCGGGAGCCCATTGGTAGTCTTGTTCCTCTTCGCCGCTGAGGAATGCAAAAGCAATGCAGAATGATCGTTGACAGGCATCAACGCCGATAATGTCGAGAAGCGGCATGCCATACCGATTCGTCTTATATGTGCAGTCTAGAAGAAGAAGGTCGGGATATGCTTGCAGATAGGTAAGTGATTCAGGATGAGCAAATAAAACTGCTGTAACCCGTCCTTTACTATCTACCTGCATACGATTCCAAAAGCCTTCTTGATCTAGCTGGTTAATAAGAGCATGCATTGTGTTCTGGCCAAAGCGAGATGATCGTCGAGCTTCTGCAATGCTGTTGGAGATATCCTTCTGAGTTGCAATGGAATTTGAATGTTGTCGAATATAGGTTCTAATCTCTTTTGAGCTGATTCCAGCCTTTGTAAGATTGCTGATTGTTGATTTATCGTCTTTCGAGAGCCTTCGAAGAACAGGATGAGCAGTGGGATGGGTGCTTGGCGTGTGGTTATGTGTAGCATATTGACTATCCGATCGATGTCGTACAACCCAGCCAGATGCATCGGGTAACTCCTTTGCGGTGATAGAGAAGGGGCAGAGGGTGCTTCGAGTGCAGGTTGCTCGAATACGGCTTCTTGAGTCGCTTGGAGGCCGACGGGCACGATCGCAAGTGAAGTAAACTGTAAGTCTCCCAGACTTGCCTTTGTTGGACCTTCCGGTAACAAAAGCATAGCCTCGTGGTGCTGCCCAGCGATTGATCGCTTGGAATAGATCATCTCGAGATGCATATGTATGCTCAGGAGGTAAGCAGTCATCCGGAAATTGATCCATTTAAGTTAATTGATAAAATGATACAGAGATCAAGATAAAGATGCTTAGCCCCTGAAAATCGCTCCCTCAACATCCCATAAATGATGAATGCTTAGTCAGGGGACTGTGCCCCTAGCCTGCTGACAGGGGGGTCTGTGCCCCGAGCACACAGGTCCTGTGCGCCTAGACGACGCCGCCTACGCGTTCAGGAGTGGAGGCGCGCCTAGGCGTGTCCCTATGGGACCCCTCTGGTTCGTCGTCAAGACCGGCCCGGTCTAAACGATCACCTTTCACGGCATCCGTGACAGACTGCCCCCTCGGCCCGGCCTTCATTACATAGACCGAACGTAATGGCCGTAGTGCTTTTCAGATCGCAACTAACTCTTCCTCCTTACGACTCTCACCTCCTATCCCGACACCGTCGATTCCTGACCTCGTAACCATGTACATCCGCGCCGCCCATGCCGAGGCAGACCTTCGCGTTCTTCGCCATCTCATCCACGAGAACCCGCTTGGAATTCTCACAACCGGCATCAAATCACCGACGTATTCATTCCTCCAAAGCAGTCACATTCCCTTTCTGTTGGACGTCAAGGATGAATCCAGTGAAACTGAACTCGGTAAATTACGAGGGCATCTTGCACGACAAAACCCACAAAGCAAGATCATGATGGAACACTGTTCTTCAAACCCCTCCCTGAACAACTTCCTCGAAGACGAAGTCCTTGTCATCTTCACCAGGTCTGCTCACCATTACGTTACACCTAAATTCTATACCGAGACGAAGCCCGCAACTGGTAAAGTAGTACCAACGTGGAACTACGCTGCAGCGCAGGTCTATGGAAAGGCACGTATCTACTACGAAAACAACCAAGAAACATCAAGATTTCTTGGTACGGCCATCTCCGACCTAACGAACCATAACGAAACGAAAATCATGGGATATACTGGCGGTGACAGGCCCTCGCAGTGGAAGGTCACAGACGCTCCTGAAAGGTTTATTGAGTTGTTGAAGAGAAATATAATTGGTATTGAGATCGAGGTGACGAAGCTGGAGGGTAAGTTCAAGATGAGTCAGGAGATGGCGAAGGGGGATCGACAGGGGGTTATTGAGGGTTTCGAGAATCTGCAAACGGAGGTTGGTAATGAAGTGGCTGAGGTCGTAAGGCATTATGGAGAGTTGAAGGACCAGAATAAGTAAGAGGCATATTGGCTACTACTTGCATGCTGTTCATTTCTTTAAATCAGTGCTTAGCTAAGGACGATCTTAACCGTTCATACCGACTGGTCTTTTTGAGGATTTTAAAACAATACACACGGTATAAGCATGAATCAAGATGGTTGGAACTTCAATGAACGAGCTGGTCTGTACTGGGTTCATACTACATTGGTAGGTTGTATGGTGTTGACCCCAAGTGTGGTGAAGAACGCTATGTCTCCATGAATGGATAATTTTGTAAGGGCTGTTATCGTGGGGGCTTCCTCCCCCCCCCCCCCCCCCACCTTTTTCTTTTCTGTTTCTTTTTCTAATTTCAATGCTTTCCTTCCTTTATTCATTGCGGAAATTTTTATTCTTCTTAATATTTCATCCAATGTCTTTTAATAATCAATAGCTGGTGAATGAAAATTTGTCAACATTTCAGTAAATATGATGCATATACTAGGTGCCCTTGATTCAATCGAAGATGTTGGGGCAGGGGCTTGGAAGACCATTGTAAGGAGGTCAAGAGGTAAGGGCTGGAGGGCAATCTCAATCCTGTTCCGGCGGACTTTTGGTTGGGAGTCTGGTTTTCTGTCATTCACCTTTTATGTAATGGTTTGGAAAATACGGGGCAAACGCGATGCAACTGCGTAAGTTATAACACAATATGACACAATTTAAATATTTCAGGCGCTATGCGTGCGTTGTCCAGAATGCTTTGTGTTTTGATTGGTCCACTCATGGCTCGATGGATATGGAATGAACAAAAATGTTGCAGAGATACAACAGAGAGAATCACCGGGCTGATAATAGAACAGCGGATCTTAGTAGTGGATGATGTTCTGTATAGGGCAGAATTCATGAGCATGAATCTGATGGACACGGAAACAAAGAAGAAGAGTTGTACGGTATTTGGCTGCTCGAGCTCCAAGAGGTAAAATATACATAAACATGACGAGTGTACTACTCGATCATCTCACATCAGAGTTCTGATTTAAGTTAGGGGCATGCTAGAAAGAATCTATGATTGGTGACTAAAAGACCATTTGAGTGGCGCCCTATGTTGCCCCCGTGGGACGCAAACATCCTGAGGCAGGTCGATGCGCCGGGACTCAAACTCCTAGTACGGATGACAACGAAAGAGGTTAGTCAAGGAGGGCAACCGATGCTAGCTCCAATCGAGGCTTAGAGGGTAGGGTAAGGTACCCACGTGAGCGGGGAAAGTCTAGTTTCGAATTAGAGTTTGGGGTAAACACTTAGAGTATTTCCTTTCCGCCAACCATATCCTCGCCTGAGCCTGAATTCCCACCTGCACTCGACCCCGCCCGAAATTGCCCAAAAGAAAAGGCAGGTCGATGCGCACCTGTCTCTCCGATAATCTAACATATGTGGATTCAATCTGTCCGTCCCGTTCTGCTCGACGTAATTGTACAGGGTGTTAGAATTGCAAAAGTAATGTCTGGACGTTTTCTACAGGTATCGAGATATTAGCTAACCTGGCGCTCAAGACCAAAAGAGGAGAGTCACCTACTGCGTGGCAAGGGTGTGTTCAACTCAACGTATTTCAATATGTTGAATGGATTGACGATCAACGTCAACTCAACGTCAATCAATATCGAATACGGATTACATAAACATCAATCCATTTTGAGTTATCATTGATTGAATATGTATATATGTATGTATATTTTTCGTCCGGGGGGCCGTAGGCCCCAAAAAGTCTCCTAATGGAGCACAGGACGTGCTGAGCTAAACTATCTACAATCGCTGCCCTGCTGATTCTCGCTCGGATCATCTGCAAGGCCTCTTGGATCGGAGCCGTATACATGCTCGAGCGTTTTCTGTACTCATTACCTCCAAGAGGCACCTCTCTACTCGTAGCCAGCTCTACCATGCAGTACCCACCTGCCGGTCATACCCACCTACCGGTCAGCGAAAAAAGAATTTCCCCATACAAAATGTCCAACTTCACTTGCACAGTGCTTGGCCAAAATTGAAGCTATTTACATGGAACAGATTGTGTCTTACTGAGAGTTTCATGCTGTTTAATATTGAAAGTTCATTTGTATTTTACACAATCAGTTTGGTCGCATGGCACTAATGTAAAATTTCTCAAAATGTCTCCTCCATCACCCAGCCTCCCCAAATTTTCATCAAATTTTTATCTATAGCAGCTTCCTTTAATCGCCTTGAAAATGCCTCAACAGTCTTATACAGAGAATGATGTCATTGAAGCTATACTGGATGTTACAGATAATCACCTCTCGCAGCACCAGGCCGCCCAGAAGCATGGAATGCCCCAAACCACTCTGTCTGACCGATTAAGAGGCCTACCGTCAAAGTCTGAGGCCACCCAACCTGCCCAGCTGTTATACAAATCCCAAGAGGCTAGATTAGTTACATGGATACTTCGACAAGAGGCATTGGGCTATGCTCCTTCCCACAGTCAAGTTCGCGCCACCGTAGCTGCCCTGTTGAGACAGCAGGGCCGGGAAAGGCCTATCGGTGTACACTGGCTAGCCAGGTTTATTAAACGCCATCCAGAGATCGACACGAAGGTAGGAAAACGCCAGGAAGCTGCAAGGTTTAATTCTTTTACCCCGATGGCCGTCAATTGGTACTTTGATATCCGGGAGAGCGAATATGGCTGGATCAAGCCTGAGAACACGGTTAATGTTGACGAGGGCGGTATCATGGCTGGATTTGGTGAGTACTGACCACTTCTGATACAAGACTTACCAATAAATTGCAAATCTAGGTTTGGATTCCTTGGTAATTGGCAGTAGCGATCCCAGGAGGAAGGCCTTCCTCAAAGGCTCGCAGTCCCGCACTTGGACTAGTTTTATCGAAGCCGTCACTGCAGATGGCCGTCTTCTAAAGCCGGGAATTATCTTCAAGGGCAAAGAACTTCAGAAGCAGTGGTTTATTGATGAGTTTAACAAGATCGCCGACTGGTATTATATCACGTCCGACAACGGCTGGACAGACAACCATATTGCGGTCGAGTGGCTCAAAGAGGTTTATCTGCCTCAAACCCAGCCAGCAGATGAGTCTGATGCAAGGCTCATCATATTAGATGGCCATGGGAGCCATGTATCTGTGGGTGTCTACCTGTTCTCGATCAGAAATACCGCTGACTGAAATTCCGGGATGAGTGGATGGCCACGTGTTTTTTTGAATAACGTGTATTGCTGTTACCTGCCTGCACATTGCTCCCATGGCCTACAGCCACTGGATAATAGTGTTTTCAACGCATCCAAGGCTGCATATCGAAAAGAGCTCCAAAAACTGGCAAGCCTGACGGATTCTGCGCCCGTGGATAAGGTCAACTTCATTAAGGCCTATGCCAAAGCCAGGGAAGTGGGTATGACGAAGAAAAACATCCTTTCAGGCTGGAGAGTAACTGGGAACTGGCCGATTTCACGACGTAAAGCGCTCATACATCCTGAGATTCAGCCAGACAAGAAGGAATCGACGCCTGGATCAGACGGCCACAGAGACGGGCAAGTCGACTCTGATAATACGCCAAAGACCAGCCGTCACATCAGAGACCTGGGGAAGAACAAGAGCCCCTCTACGAGAAGGCGGTATTCTGTGATATCAAAAGGGTTTGAAGCCCAAGAGTCAAAGATCGCCTCTCTCAGCACCAGAATAGCCAGTCTGGAGGAGGAAGTTGGCCGGTTGAGCAGAGGCAAGAAGAGAAAAGCGATACCGAACCCCAATAAGAAATTTATGACGCTGGCAGAGGCTCTAGCGGCTGGTGACACTATTTTAGAGCCAAACGAAGCAATTGAAAGGGCGGATGTTGTTGAGGATGTGATCGAGGTGGGAGGGATGGAAGAGGATGAGAGGTCAAATTCAGGGAAGGAAGAATTAGGTGTCGTACGCACCCGCACAGGTCGTGAGGTTAAAAGGCCTAGAAAATATTAAAATAGATTCAATTTTGATCTGAATTCTAGAGATAAACTTATTTTTACTATTTTTATTACGGTTTTCCCATGAGGTTAAAAAAGTGCATTATGTATGGGGGATTTTTTTTTTCGCTGACCGGTAGGTGGGTATGACCGGCAGGTGGGTACTGCATGGTACAGTGGTTGTCGGTGAAGCACGTCCCATGGACATCAATACAGTTGATCTCAGCAGAGCTTCCCTCCAGCAACGTCTCCCATCTAGTTCATCCAGCATATCATCGGCACAAAGGCGCTTTACTTTCAAGAGGTCATCCCGTCAGCGGGAACTATTCCTCTCCAGCCTAGAATTCTCTTGCACAGATAGATCAAGTAGCTTTCCATACCCTGAGGCAGGAAGTCCATGATCCCCTAAGATCGCCAGTAGCTGCAACCCTAGAACCGTGCATCCTTGGAGAAAACCCTTGCAGGGGAAAACCCCAAGGCGGCTAGAACGCTGCTCTGTGGACGAGGTAGTCGCCTCATTCCACGGTCTCCAGGTAAGCTCTGTACCATTTCGACCCAGCGGTTTTGTCTAGTGGTCTCAGCCAGTGAGACCAATTGTCGAAGCCCGGTCGTGTTCCGGGCAGCAGCCGAGGCTGCAAAGAAGAAGAGGTTCTCTGGGCAGTACACGACTACAGAGATCGGTCATGCAGCTTCCGAGCTGCAAAAAGGGCAGCGAGCCATTTGGGGCCCGTGCGTCGAGATAAGGGGGCACCAAAGGGCCCAAGAAGTCGAGCAGCTAGCGGCTGCTGGTGTTGTTCGGGCAGCAAAGGCTGCAGAGGTCGGTCGAGGCAGCGCAAAGCTGCAGGTGAGTATGAGGGTGAGGGTGCGACGACCCTCAATGTCGGGCGGCAAGATGCCGCGAATGTTGTCAGATATTAAGGTGAATCGTGTATATTTCTTGATTCTGTCGCAATCGAAGGACTATTGAGACCTTATATCTTCGACTGGTTCCTTCTAGGACTTGAGTCCTAGAAAGTCCTAGATGAAAGTCCTACGATCTAAGTTTAGGGCTTCAAACTTTAATCCTGAACCTTAATCCTGAAGTTGAGGGTGAACCCTCCAACATTCAACAAATGTCGTCTGGGCAGCCAGGGCTGCAGAAGTCGGTCGTACGGGAAGTCGAGGGGCGCAGAGCCCGAAATGTCGCAGGCTCGCGAAGCTCAGTGTCGTTGAAGACACTCGTCATGAAGAAAGGTCAACTCTCTGAATCCCTTTCTTCAGGCAGCTGTTAGGGTCCCGTTAGCCCCACAGCTGCTTTTGTTGCCATTTTAGCCTGCAAAACAGCGGGTGCCAAGAATTCTTTTTTACAGGAGAGAGTTGTAAGTTATGTACAAGGTTTGGGAGTTTTGGTGTCGCAGGGTAGGCATGATCTTCACGGGCTCAGGAAATAACTGTCTTAGTAATCTAGCTATATGCTTTAAGTAACTCTGCGGGATGGAATACCCCGCACAAGAAATAACTGAACAATCAATCAACACATTTTTGCTGCTGCTCATCACATTCACTTTAACCCTTTAAGCACGCTAAGTGCGACATTTGGCCACTTGAATTGTTGTAGTGGCCAGGTACGTGGCTCAAGTACGGAGTACCTGCGACCCACCTCTGGTAAGGCACCAATCTTAATAAAGTTTAACGTACATGTCCTCTAATCTAATTGGATGGTGGATTACGGTCACGCCATCCGCGGTCCTGTTCTTTCGCGACCATGTGTGTCTCTGACTGAGCTGGTGTGCTGGGTGAAAATATATTTTATGAAACTTGATTGTTCATTATTGAGATGAGAGTTCATCTCGGGTTTATATCGCTAGATGATTTCATCTAGGACTTTGAACTTTAAATCTAGGACTTTCAGGATCGGCATACTTGGATGATCGGCATGCTTATCACACACGTTATCGGTCCTTCTCTAGCGTCTTTATAGACCGCCGTTCAGTTTCCCTCCCATTGTGCCGTTTCTCCCGTGCCTCCCGTTTCTGCCGCTACTCCAGTTACTGCTGTTCCCTTCCGCCTCGCTCCCGCCGTTCAAATTTAGTACCGTCTTTCACATCTTCAAGTTAGACTAGCCCTCAGTTAATGTGGACGTTCAAACTCTAAGTTGCACCCTCCATTGGTTTATGTTCAAAAGCAAGGTAATCCGGCTGGTCAGAGTCCTGGACTGGCAGTAAAGCTGTTATTAAGAGCCATTTGAATACTGTCATCACTAACATATTTTTTCCAAAGTAGAATCAGTATTACGAAATCTTGTAAAATGGCTCACGTTAGTCCCACTTGATTTTTATTCATTTTCTGATGTACTGTACATCCTACTTCAAGACATCAATGATCCTACTTAGCCCTTCCATTAGCGTCACCTTATCAACTGAAAACACAAGTCTAAACCAGCCACTATCCTCAGCTCCAAAGCTTGATCCAGGAGCTACAAAGACCTTTCGCTCGAGCAGTAGCTGCATCACTCGATCCTCAGCGTGTGCATGCTCCTGTTCAGGATGGTTCTGACAGTAAGCCTCTCCAAGATTAGCCCACAAGAAGAAGCCTGCATTTGTTCCCCTCGCATAACGGATACCATACTCCGTTGCCCACGATGTTATTAGCCTGTAATGCTCTGTGAGTTTTATCCTGTTCTTGTCCAGATAGTCATCAACCCAAGCCTCGTCTTCGAGTACATTCGCAAAGGCGTGATCAGCGAGAGAAGAACTCATACTGTATAAGGCACCTGGAACAAGTGCTTTGTGCAATGAAGGGTTGCTCTGAGAGACAACGCATCCGATCCGAATGCCGTTGGACCCAAAATCTTTCGAGACACCCCATACCACGTGCATCAGAGACGGGTCAATGATACCTGTGGGGTCTATAGATAGACAAGAGGTAAAAGGCGTTGCTTGTGCATCCTCGTCTGTCCATGTTGATAAGGCGTAAACTTCATCGCTAATCAGGTGAATTTGATGTTTCTGACAAAATTGCATGAGTCCAATCAAGGCATCTCTGGAATAACAGCGCCCTAGGGGATTGTGCGGGTTGCAGAGAAGAATGCCAGCAATCTTCTTTCCTTGGGCTTTGGCTTCTTGAAACTTGGCATCGTACTTGTCAACGACCTTCACGCAGAAAGGATCAACGCCATGGCATGGCACCTGTACCACCTCCGTATCAACGCGAAGGCCAAAGGTTGGTATGAATGCGCGAAAGAAAGGTCTAGTGATAAGGAAACCATCCCCTTGATCTCCAACTGCCCAGGCGATATGTTCGATAGCTGCGCTACAGCCGTTGGTAATGGTGATTTGGTCCCATTCGATGTTTTTATGAGGGTGTAGATATTTGTTGAAAAAGTGTGCGAGTGCAAGCTTTAACCGTTTTGATCCAGTTGTACCATCGCCATAAGTCAAAGCTCGAGGTTGAAGGGAGACGTTATCAGTGATGTGTTTCAATAGCTCATCTTGCATGAGGACATTCTCTGCCATGCCCAAGCTCACGAAGCCTGAAAGGTTGGTCGTAGGGTCCCAAAGGTTTGCTGTGACGTCCCACAAGAGCGATCCGCCTTTGTTGTCGGCTGTTGCTTGACCGCGATTGGAGAGCTTCATGTTGATAAGGAAGGCGCTAAGAAGCCGGTATCGGTTGAAAGGGGGATGTAGTTTGAAAGAGTGAGACGTCTACAATATTTGGCTGTTTCGACCCTGAAGCAGGTGATGCCCGGAAATTATCGGAGTCACTAGGTTGAGGTTTGGGTTCGGTGCTACTTTTGTAGCCATGGTGAGTATGTCAACGCACCATACTGACTAAAAATGAGTAAAAAGTGGAGAGGTCGGTTCTAGAATCATGGCGCTTTTTCAATCAGTGGGTTTCCGCCCTCCAACAACAAGCGCATAATAAATTTCGCCTCTCAATCACTCTGAGGCTGAGAAGAGCAAGGTTGAGATCACTTTCCTTCGACAAAGACAGTGATAATGTTACGCAATCCTTCAATATCCGAGTCAAAAAACCCCCCCAAGAAAACGACGACCTATCTTCCGCGCCGGCAGATGGGGACGAGCGCCATGCCCTTGTTGATGTCAACCCTCGTGGGTTTTACATACGGCATCCTCCAAAGCCTCATATACTAAATGATTCCATCACACCGGACGACCTCCTCTTTCATACTATTCACATGGGAGCGGCGGTCGTAGACCCTGTCAAATGGACGCTTGTTGTCACTGGACTGGTGAAAAAGCCCTTTTCTCTTTCACTGGATCAGCTCAAACGCCTACCTCATAAATCGGTCACCTCTTTTCACGAGTGCTACGGCAGTCCACTTAAACCTCCAACGGAAGCAGTGTGGCGCATAGGGAACGTTGTCTGGACTGGCGTCCCTCTCTCATATATTTTATCACTTGCTTCACCACTCCCCGAAGCTTGTTATGTGTGGTCAGACGGGCTTGATCATGGAACTTTTGCTGGTGTCTCAGCAGATCGTTACCAAAAAGACCTACCAATGGATAAAGCCCAAAGCCCAGAAGTTCTGATAGCTTACAAGATGAACGGGGAGCCCCTAACGAAAGAGAGGGGAGGCCCGGTCAGGCTCGTTGTTCCTGGGTGGTTCGGCACAAATTCTACCAAATGGCTTTGCCGGTTAACGCTGGAGGACAGGAGGGCTGAAGGACCATATACCACAACCTTTTACAACGAAATCGATCCCGGAGACCCCAAAGGGGTCAAGAAACGGCCAGTGTGGAACATCGAAGTGAACTCAATTATTGTGCGCCCTGAACCGGACGCCGTTTTGATGGGCTCAACTGTCGCGATAGAGGGTTGGGCGTGGTGTTTTGAGCCGGTTAAAAGTGTTTGCATTTCTCTTGATGAAGGTGAAACTTGGATTGCAACTGAGGTTGAAACCAGAAAAGACTTTAGCTGGCAGATATGGAAGATAAAGTGGGATCTACCGAGCGGCTCATACTCAGTCATGGCTCGGGCTGAGGCCACATCGGGTCACATGCAACCACTGTATGGGAGACGGAATCATGTACACAGAGTCAAATTTTCCATATCTGAGGGAGTATACAGAACAGGGAACGTGGTACATTTATGCGATTAAATAGTTCTGTGGAACTCAAGGATGTTATCAAAAATTGCGCAATAGATCCATAACCTTTCAACTGCATGTGGGTAGGGATTATGTCCGTTGAACGCTTTATATCTTCTAGTGAAGAGCATTTTATTGAGAACGTTGCGAAATGGGAAGCAGAACCAGTTCAAGTAATTGAAAACTATACAAGTCAAAAGCGCAGCATGAGGAGGAAGACCTAGCCTTCCATGCCGTTATCAATTAACGTACTCTTAAGACCCTAGACAAGGGAAAATACTATCGCTATTAAGCGATTAAAATAGACCCTCAGCCTCACGCGTATGATTGTCGGTTCACTGTTAAAGTACGTTAATGTTGGCGGATGGTCTCCGCTGCGGAGAGCGGAGAGATGGAACGGGCCCTTTAGACACATGGCGGATTCGAACCGCCCGGACTAGCGCCACATTAGTTGATGTGTAACACCAGTCGATCCTATCACAGAGGCCTGCCTACTGAGCGGCATCCAACCGCCTCCTGGCAGTGGAGCAGGTCTGCATTCTACAACCGAAACAATTCGTAAGTTTGGGGCGATCATAAGTCCCTCAACGGACAATATTTAAATGCTGTGCTGTTCATAAAGGCATGTTCTGGTCAAATCTCTCAGATTGACCCCATACTTAAGCGGAGCACCTGTTCAGAGAGTACCTTTCCAACATTTTCCCTATCTTCGCACACCATGACTGCTGACGACAAGCTCAGTGGACTGCTCAGAGCTCTCACCCTCGAAGAGAAATGTACCCTTTTATCTGGAAAGAACATGTGGGAGACTGCATCTATTCCAAGACTAGGTATCAAAAGTCTCAAAACCAGTGACGGGCCAGCTGGCGTGCGCGGCTCGCGATGGGTCGACGGGACGCACACAACATTCATCCCATGCGGTATCTCACTTGCTGCAACATTCGACCCAGCTCTAATCGAAAGAGTCGGAGGCATCCTTGGTGCCGAGGCAAAGACTAAGGGAGCACACGTGCTGCTCGCTCCCACCATGAATATCAGCCGATCACCGTTTGGAGGGCGCAACTTTGAGAACTTTGGCGAGGATCCGTTTTTAACTGGACGCATGGCTATCTCGTACATCAAAGGCGTTCAAAATAAAGGGGTCGCCGCTTGCATGAAGCACTTTGTCGCCAACGATATGGAGACACGGCGATTCAATATGGACCAGACCATCGATCAGAGGACGCTGAGAGAGATCTATCTAAAGCCATTTCAGATGGCGCTGGAAGCCAATCCGCTCACGGCAATGACGGCATATCCCAAGATTAACGGCACACATGTTGATGCTAGTCGGAATCTTGTACATGACATTCTTCGAGAAGAATGGAATTACGGGGGACTGGTGATGAGCGATTGGGGTGGCCTCAACTCTACAGTCGACAGCATCCGAGCGACTACAGACCTGGAGATGCCAGGTCCCCCGTTGCGATACGGTAAAGCGTTGATGAAGGCGGTGGAGAGTGGACACATATCGGAGACTCAACATGTTGATCCTTCCGTCCAAAGACTTTTACGATTGCTCAACCAGTTCCATTGTCTGGACAGCATCAGCACTACAAATGGGCATGGCGACCAAAACGGCAGCGATCAACTCAACGGCATGGATATTGCGGCTGGAGAAGGAGAATCAGACACGCTCGAGTTCAGAAGGACAACAAGAGAGGCTGCTTCACAAGGCATCGTGCTACTCAAGAACAACAACAAGTTACTTCCTTTACAGCCATCTCGCATTAAGAAGCTTGCCATTATTGGCCCTAATGCAAAGAACCCGACGCTTGGCGGCACAGGGAGTGCTATCGTCAATCCTTATTACACAACAAACCCATACGATAGCATCACGTCTGCTGCGAAACAAAGAGATCCTGACATCGAAATACGCTATGAGAGAGGAATTTTTACGCATTTGCAGCCGCCTCTGATCGGCCACTGTTTGACTCAACCAAACAGTGGCTCGCCAGGACTTCAGGTGGATTTCTTCCACGGAAATCAATTTGAGGGCGACATTGTGGGCACAACATTCTGGCAGAACTCCCTCGTGTACTTCATGAGTGATGGAGACGTGCCTCAACCTCTGCGAGGTAAACAATTTTGCTACAAAGCCACAGGCCTCTTACGCCCAAGTGTCACTGGCACTTACGATTTCAGCCTATCCAATACAGGAAAGGCAAAACTTTTCATCGACGGACAAGTTCTTATTGACAACACAGAGTGGAATGAAATCAGTGGCAATTTTATGAACTGCGGCAGCGTCGAGTGCTTCGCTAGCATGATCTTGGAAGCTGGCAAAACATACCAACTCAGCATCGACAATATCGTTGTACCGCCTCCAACAAAGCCACATGATAATACTCTCTTCCACAAGATCTCAGGAGTTCGCGTTGGAATGCTTTTCAAACACGATGAACAGGCCATGTTCAACGACGCTGTCAATGCTGCTCAAGACGCTGACGCGGTAGTGCTCGTTGTGGGCCATAACAACGACACAGAGCGAGAAGGGTCGGACCGTACTTCGTTGTCGCTTCCAAGACGCACTGATGAGCTCGTTTCAGCAGTCTGTGCGGCTAACGAAAATGCCATTGTTGTGACGCAGTCTGCCTGTGCGATCAGTATGCCATGGTTGGATGAAGCTGGTGTAATCCTGCATACTTGGTATCAAGGCCAAGAATGTGGCAACGCCATCGCCGACGTCGTATTTGGCGTCGTCAATCCCTCAGGAAAACTGCCCGTTACTTTCCCCGGGAAAATCGAAGACCACGGGTCTCACAAGTGGTTCCCTGGAGACCCTGCCAACGACAAGGCAGAATTTGGTGAGGGCGTTCTGGTAGGATACCGATGGTTCGATTCTCAGGATATAGAGCCTCTCTGGTCTTTTGGATATGGTCTGTCTTACACGACATTCACCGTCTTAGATGTGACCCTGGAGGGTACCATTGGGCACCCAGGGTCTTCTGGCGTGCTTGTGAGAGCTGTTGTCGCAAATATTGGAGACGTTCTTGGCTCTGAGGTCGTCCAAGTTTATGTCTCGCCATCTTCAGCTATCCAAGCATCCAGCTTACCAGCAGCACCGCGGGCCCTTGCTGGGTTTTCCAAAGTCTTGGTACCGGCCGGAGAGAGCAAGACAGTCGATATCCGGTTAGATGATGACGCATTCAAGTGGTTTGACGTTACCGCCTCTAATTCACAGGGAGATACAAAGGGAGCGTGGCGTATTGACAAGGGGGCCTATAAGTGCTACGTTGGTACAAGTTCTCGAAACTTGCCCTGGACTTTAGATCTTGATATAGACTAGCAGCTTTCGCTATCTCAATACCCGTCAAGGCCGACAGATGCATTTGGCTCGAACTATGCGTACAATAGATAGCATGGTCTCAATGCTAGATCCGGGGAAGGCCCATTTCTCAAGAATGGGGATAGTTTGTGCTTGTATTCTGGCAATATCGGCCAAGCTAGAGGAAAACGTTTGTGTTGGTGAGGCCAGAGTTAGGAGCAAAGTTGCTGCCATAGTTCCATAGATGCATGCATATTAGTTTTTAATCCGTGAGAATATAGTTTGCTTGAAATGACTTACGAATGGAGAAATACTTCTAATGACGCGGTTGATGTCTGCACAACATGCTTTACAGCCTGTAGATATCCTCTACAGTGATGCAAGCATTTCTCCGCCTTTTCCACAATGCGGCGATCCACTGCTGCATGCGGAGCCAGAGAACACACATGTAGTAGAAATGGCCGATGGATGATATCTCCAGCGGCATGAAAGCGCATAGTAAGTACAGCTTCGTCAATGCTCGGGTGGTCGTTCTCAAATCCCACTTTAATAACATCTGGGAGGAGTTCAAACCAAGCATGCAGCTGATGATTAAGCTCGTTGGACATCTTAAATATTGATGTGGCAAGAGGCTGAGCAGCTGGATTAGAAGCGGGAGAGTCTACGCATTCTGATCCTGACTGCAGGCCATCGTAGAGAACAAAGTGTATGCGGTTGAGTAAGCGACGAGAGGAAATATTGGCTAACCAGCGGAGCATGGATGGCTCTGGTGAAGTGCCAAATCGAGGGAGTGGTAAATTTTCTACTACGTTTTCTATTCCACTCCGAGGCAGATGGTGCTCGGCCACAATATCACTGTCAAAGCGGTTAACGATGCATGCTGATGTTGACTCATCGAGCTTATTAGCCTCACCATTCGAGAATAAAGATGGCCCAACAGAGTCGGAGTATGGATTGATTTCGGGACTCGTGCTGCGTCGCTTGCGATATGTTCAATTTTCTTATCAAAGTCAGCTCAAGGCGCATCTAATTGCACAAAGTAGAGAACTTGCCGGATCCAGTAATGCTGGATTTCAGTGGATGCCATATGCACTAATCGCCAGGCCTGCAATGGTCTAGCTAAAAAGCTGTAGTATAATGCCGCCAGATACAGTGACTGTGGCAAAAGCAAACTATTCCCAAAATGTCGTAGTCCTTGAGTGAGGAGGATCCCAACTGCAGAGGGTAGAAAGTGGGAGCCTGGGGCCCAAGGGTCGCTGCCGGAACTGTATGTCTCTCTGGACACGCAACCGAGGGCCAATACCGTTGATACATGGGCCGATTCAAGGCCAGGTTGTAGCCCTTGCCCAAAAGCTATATTGTGAACGCCGTGAAACCCCGCCTCATCGAGGACAGGATGAAATGGATGGACATTGATGAAGAAACTTTGTACCAAGCTGGCGGCATCTTCCTCCAAGATAGTTGGGATATCGGCTGTGGCAGGGACTGTTGGATTGAGCGCTAGAGACTCTGGGATGCTGCGCTCCAACTCCACATGAAGAAAGATGTCAACAGGGTAGTGTCCCAGTAAAGCCCGAGCTGGAGCGGAGCGTAGGAGTTCCCCGGTCGTGGTGGAGTGGTCCAGGGGGATAGACATTGCATGGTTGGGTTCACTGGCGGGTGTAAATTGGGGCCCAAATGATGGCCCCAGTGGCCGTTCTAAAGCAGGGGAGCTGTTTGAGGGTATATCATGATAAGACGGTGATAGAACTGGCCCCGAAGCTAAGATTTCACCGTGAGGTTGCGCGTCGATAGGATATTCATCCAAATACTGCCGGTTTGAAGACCCAGAATCGGGTGTCCGACTGTAGAGAGCTTGCTCGAGCGATCCTAGCCTATCCAAGATAACTGTAACTTGATCCTCCAAGGCAGCGATATTCCTAACATGGGGGCGAAGTTTCTGTTAGAACAGAACATTTATGTTGGACTTTGCTTGTTAAGGCAGGGCTAGAGATACTGCACACACCAAACTTGCAGCACCAATAAAGGACAGGACCTACCGATTTTCTTCGGTATCACGATACTCGCACTGAGAGTCATTGGCCTCCTCGCAGAGCGTGCAGACGGGCTGCTTTCCATCGCACTTTCGTTTCCTATCATCACGATACAGATTGTGTTAGCTTCATGTTACTGGACCGCTATGGGAGGACAGATATAGTTCCGGATAACTTCAATGCGGCACGCGCACCTTTTGCGACAATAGTTGCAAGCCAGGGCGGCTCGCTTCCGCTTGTTGGCTTCCATATCTGTCTGTGTCTTATGACTCTTATCGCGAGGGAGTGTACAGGCAACTGAGGCAGGAAAAGCAGCCGAGGTGAGGAGGAACACATCCGCCGTTTTTGGCACCACCTGATCAGTCTTTTATTAAATTCTAGCCAGGGTAATATAAAGTCTAAACCTTTGAGGCGGGGGACTTCCGCCGGCTCCACCGGGTCATCATCATTTCCGAATCGACCAACGAGGCTTGCTCGGCGACGATCATGGATCGATAACTAGCGCCGAATTCGGTTCAAGGCGGCTCAGCTTCCGCCAGCCACAACGATAACGCGCCCTTGGACGGAAAACTCAATATCGGTCACGAATCGCCTCAGCTCAAATTCGGGTTGGGGTTGTGGGGGAGGGTCTAAGGCTCTGTTCCCCAGATTATGGGCTCTCGGATATTCATCAGTGTTATCACGAACCAGTCTCGACGGTCTTTGGTTCATCATGGCTATATCGTTACAACCTTTGCCAGAGCCCAGAGTACTATTTAGTCTGCTATTGTTTCTCTCCATCTACTTGGTTCCATCAGCAGCCACTTCTCTTTGCTCACATCCACATTCTAGGCCCTGATACTCATCTACATCGCCCGTCATGGAAGCATCGACAACAACCTCCGAAACCATGAGCGGATTCCGAAAGTGGTCGACAACCGCCTTGGTCATTTCTGTCTGCGTTGTCGATTCTGTCACGATCGCGTATGATGGCTCCCTTATGGGTTCTTTGAACGTCATGGAGTCGTATCACAAATACTTTGAGCTTACTACGACAACCACGGCCGTCAACACGTGCGCCACTTTTCTAGGCGCTATCATTGTCGGACCGTTTACTGGCATGCTCATCGATTGGAAGGGTCGCAAAATGGGCCTCTACGCTGCTTGTATTGTCAATATCCTAGGTGCCATCATCGCAGGTGCAGCAACAAATATTGCCATGTTCATTGCAGGCCGAGTTATCATTGGTGTTGGAGTCGGCCTGGGACAGACCGCAGCTGGCACGTATGTTGCAGAGACTACAGCACCATCCATCCGTTCCTTTGCCCTTGGTCTCTACTTCTCGTGCTGGGCCGTTGGAGCGCTTCTCGCCGCTGGCGTATCTTATGGGGTAATTATAGTCTCAACCAAGCTTGAAGCTTGAAGCTTGCTAACGTATTGGCTTTGCAGTGCTCTAACCTTGAGCCGTCTAACTGGGCGTGGCGAGTCCCTTCCATCTTGCAAGCAGCTCCACCTCTGGCTGTTTTTGGCCTTATTCCCTTCCTTCCGGAGTCTCCTCGATGGCTCGCGTATAACGATCGAACAGAAGAAGCGCTGCGTGTTCTGGCAAGGATCAACGGTGCTTCAGAGCAACATCCCGACGTCCAAATGCAGTTCAAGGAGGTTGTGGATACTTTGGGATATGAGAAGGGCGAAGGCCAGAGTCTGAGCTTTGCGGCCATTCTCAAGTCTCCTGGGAACCGAAAACGCCTCTTGCTCGCTTTGTCGGTTGCGCCATTGGCTATGTTGACCGGCTCAAACATTATCACGTAAGCAGAACCCTCACTCGATGTCTCTGATAACTTGGCTCATTATGGACTCTATCAGGTACTACTTTGGCAGCATGCTCACTCAGGCCGGCCTCGGCGACCCAACCACCCAGCTACAGATCAACGTGTGTCTATCTGCTTGGCAGCTTGTAGTGGCAATCATCGGATCAGGCCTTGCTGAGAAACTTGGTCGCCGAGTCCTCGCCTTGACCAGCTTGGGCCTTTGCTCCATGTTTTTCTATTTGCTGGCTGGACTGACTGCCAAGTTTGGAACAGCTGGCGACATGGCCGGTACTTATGGGACTGTGGCCTGTATCTTCCTCTTCCTTGGTTCGTACGCCTTTGGTATCACCCCATTGACAGCTATGTACGCCCCCGAGATTCTGCCCTACAACATGCGTGCGAACGGTATCGCAATGCAAGGAATACTGATCAAGTCTTGTGGTGTTCTGGTCTCAATGGCTTTCCCATACATGCTGGAAGCCGTAGGGTGGAAGACCTACATCATCAATGCGTCTTGGAACATCCTGCTCTGGCTCTACATTTATTTCCAGTGGGTCGAGACTTCGGGCTTGACTTTGGAGGATGTTGATGCTATTTTCGATGGTGAATTTCATACTAGGCCAGGAGGAGTCGAGGTGTTGGAGAAAGGTATCTCTCTCGAGGCCCGGGTCTCGAATGTTTCATCCCCATGAATGACAACTGGCGGAGTTTGAAGTATGCAGGAGGTTGAATGTCCTGTGAAGCTAAAACTTGAAGTATGGACGTACCTAGTACTTGATCAAATTCTGCAGCATGTGGTTTATTTCTAGTGTCTCTCTCTTATATCAATGAACATGCCTCTTGCTGTGAACAAAGGAGCTCAGTGTTTGTCGGCAGAGACTTGTAACATTGGTACATGGAGATATTTATTGTACGGGTAAAGGAACATAACTTAGATAGTACCAGACTATTTTTAATTGACTAAGGCAAAGAATAGGTGTCACAGAGCGATGCGTCGCATCTTCTCATAGGTGTATTTGTGCATACAGATTTTGCTTCGAATGTACAAGCTTTATCTTTACTTTTCAAAGCTGCCTGTCATACAGATCAATGGCACTTACCATCCACAACCCCTCTTTCGGCATAACCCCTCTTTCGGCAAGCAAAATAAAAAAGCCACCACCAAAAATCAACAACTTCACTTACACAGAACTTGACCGAATTGATAGAAATCCGTGAAACTTTTCGTTTCATAAATCATAAATAGGGTTTATCTATTGTACTCTGGTTTTTTTCGCCACCCGCCGCGACCGCCTGGGTGGTTGGTGGGGTATGTTTTCCTCTCTGACTTCGATGACAGAACCAGCCTCCGATTCTGACTCTTGCTCGCTTGAACAGACAGATTCCACCACAACAGGCATATTTTGAGTCGCCCCTTCTGGTATGGACTCTTTACCAGCTAGAGTCTCTCCAAGAGCCATAAAACGTTTGTTAGGATTCGGCACCGCCTTCCTCTTCTTCCCTCTCTTCAGGCGAGCCAATTCTTCCTCTAGGCTAGCAATCCTCAGCGTATGCGCCGCTACCGTCTGCTGTTGAGCCTCAAAGCCCTTAGCTATCACGCTGTACCGTCTCCGTGTCTTTGGTGTTTTGTTCAGCCCAAGATCACGAATTTGACGGCTCGTCTGTGGTGTATCGTCCGAGTCAAAATATGGCCTGGGCTCGGGAGTCGCCCTTGGGCTGCCATTCGGCCTATCTTCCTGGATTTCTGGGTGCCGCAGCGCTTTGGCACGTGAGATCGGCCAATTTCCAGTAACCCTCCAGCCAGACAGTATGTTCTTCTCAGTCATTCCAACTCGACGAGCCTTGGCGTAGGCCCTGATGAAATTAACCTTGTCCATCGGAGCGGAATCAGTCAACGAGGCGAACTTTTCCAACTCTCGTCGATATGCAGCCTTCGAGGCATTGAATACTCCATTGTCCAGTGGCTGGAGTCCATGAGAGCAGTGTGCTGGTAGATAGCAGCAATAAACGTTGTTCAAAAAGCACGTGGCCATCCATTCATCCTTCCATCACTCAGCACTGATCTTGAGGTGGGGAAAATAGTGAACATACTGTTGCATGGCTTCCATGACCATCTAAAATGATCAGTCTCGCATCAGAGTCGTCGGCAGGCGTAGTCTGGGGCAGATAAACTCTTTCAAGCCATTCAATGCCTATGTGGTCATCAGTCCACCCGTTGGGCGATGTTATATAATACCAGTCTGCTATCTGCTTGAACTCATCAAGAAACCACTGTTTCTGGAGCTGTTTCCCCTTGAATATTATGCCAGGAACTAAAGCGCGGCCGTCAGCAGTGATGGCTTCGATGAATGAAGTCCAATTCCGAGTTTGTGGTCCCTTGAGAAACGCCTTGCGCTTCGGGTCCGCGCTTCCAACGACCAGGCTATCTAGACCTGAACCCAGAGGGTTAGTCGGCCAAAACTCAAGCATTGACAGGGAATAGAGGTGAATTCTTGCCGAAACCAGTCATAATACCCCCCTCATCAACGTTGACGGTGTTTTCAGGCTTGATCCAACCATATTGGCCCTCCCTGATATCAAAGTACCAATGAACCGCTCTAGGTGTGAAAGAGTCAAATCTCTTGGCTTCTTGACGTCTACCTATCTTGGTCTTTAGGTCTGCGCGGCGATTGATAAACTTGGTCACCCAGTTACGTCCCAAGTCGGGATGTTCGCCCTGCTGTCTCAGCAGGCCCATGACGCAAGCGCGGATCTGACTGTGGGACGGAGCATAGCCCAAAGACTCCTGACGGAGTATCCAGAAAGCGAGCCTATCCTCTTGGCTCTTGTACAACCGTCGATGAGGGTGGATCTGCTCTTTTACGGCCCCACGGCCGTTAAGCCTGTCGATCAGAGTCCTTCGGGGCACTCCCCGTCTCTGAGCGGCTTGAGGAGGTGAAAAACCATTATCAGTAACATCCAATATAGCCTCTGCCATGTCTTCCTCTGTGTATTTCCATCGAAGTCTTGGCCTAGGCATTTTCATATGTTGTCGCAGATAAAGGCCAAAAAACAGAGAAAAGAGCGGTGAAGAACTTGATGATCAAATTAACACTATTTCCATAGCACGGTATGCATACATCGCGTACCCCGCACAGCCTTAGAGGGCTACAATCGTTAACTCCAATCATTTCTATAATCAGCAAAGGCATTGTCCTCCAAGTAGCTATTTATTTTGGCCAATATTTGTGTAAGTGAAGTTGGTGAGTTTTGGTGAAGCTTTTTTTATTTTGCTTGCCGAAAGAGGGGTTATGCCGAAAGAGGGGTTGTGGATGGTAGGTTCAAGGACAATTTTCTTCTACACATAATCGAAGCATCGTGTCTAAAGCTAGTGCGCAACTCGAGATAGCAGCGTCTTTATTCATTGTCAAAGTATTTCCTTCGCTTGCCAAGTCTGCTTCTAGCATTATGGCGTTCCGATATGGCCGATATGGCCGATATAGCCACCCAGAGTTTAATTTTACCCCGCCAAGGGTCTCATTCGTTATTCGGAGCCTAAAAAATCATCCGAAGATCTTGTTCATAAATCTGTCTGCAAGGCTTATTCTCAGCCCTGTAGATCGCTTGTAGCTTACTCATGTTCTTGCCATTATCATCACTATTAACGTCAAGACAGCCATGAGTTCGATCATCCGAGTGGCTGCTTGCCACGCCTCTCCCATTTTTCTCTCAGCAAGAGACACGACAAATAAAGCAATTTCTCTGATCAAGCAAGCCGCTAGTAACAAGGCAAATGTCGTTGTGTTTCCCGAAACCTTCATCCCAGCATTCCCCGTCTGGAGCTCTCTACGATCGCCACCTGAGAACCATGATCTCTTCAAGCGCATGGCATTGGAGTCTGTGCTTGCCGATGGCGAGGAAATTCAGGCCATCCGATCAGCCGCAACTGAGGCAAACATTACCGTCAGCATCGGCATCTCTGAAAAAGTTCGAACCAGCAGCGCGACTCTGTATAACTCCAACCTGATCATTGGCGAATGTGGTGATATTCTGGTGCATCATCGCAAACTTATGCCGACCTTCTTTGAGAAGCTTACTTGGGCACCTGGCGATGGGTTTGGACTACGAGTCGCCGAGACAGCATTCGGCAAGATCGGAAACCTGATATGCGGCGAGAATACCAACCCCCTCGCGAGGTATACCCTTATGGCCCAAGGCGAGCAAGTTCACATTTCAACATGGCCGGCGATATGGCCTACTCGCCTTCCAGGGAAAACACGAGCTGTCGACGATCAACAAGAACAATCCACCCTGCGAGGGTCAAGCTCGTCGCGTCAGGCCAACTATGACAACATCGCCGCCAACAGAACCAGAGCGGCGGCGCACAGCTTTGAAGCCAAATGCTTTGGCGTTCTATGCTCGGGATATCTCAATTCCGACGCTGTGGACACCCTTGTATCGGGTGCTCTGAACCCAGATGTTGTATCAGAAGCTCTCCAACAAGCACAACAGGGTGCCACCATGTTTTTGGACCCTACTGGCGCTCTATTGCAAGGTTTCACGGTTGATCCAAACACGCAAAAAGAGGAAGGTCGAGATTATTTGCAGACTGAAGAAGGAATCCTGTATGCTGATATGGACTTGCATGACTGCATCGAAGGAAAACAATATCATGACGTCGTGGGAGGCTATCAAAGGTTTGATGTCTTTGATCTGACTGTTGACAGATCACGTCGTAACCCTGTGAGGTTCACGAAAGAGGATACGCAGCAGGATAATTAGGATCAATATGGTAGTTGTAGATGGAGGCGGTGAAGGCTATTTTCCTATACTTTCTGTATATGTAGCCAAATAGTATCTATCGATTAACCACTTAAAAATCGAACAGTTCCGAGATTCAATTGAAGAAAGCTTCAAGCGTATTTGATGTGCTTGGTCCTCGGCATCCGCGGATTGGTCTTGGTGTGAGCTTCGGACTTCCGCACTACAAATGATTTACAGCACGCCCATAACTTGAATCACCTGTGATTTGCTCCAGAAATGAAGTAATGCAATAGGAATCCTTTCTGCGTCGTAGCCTGGTGGCAAAATGCAATGATAAAGGGTCCGTGCTGCAAGGAGGAACTAACCCGCCTGTATTACCCTAGCCCTGTGCCTTTCGTCCCTTCTTTCGTTCCTCTCTTCGTTCCTCAAGGTCTTTTGCTATTGCCCCTGAACTTAAACGCTTCGCTCTGATTTGTGCAGCTATTCGCACTTCCTGATTAGCCCAAAGTCCCTCATCTCTGATTATTTTTATACTATTCCTCTGACTTAATTAGTTACTTTAGCTCACTTTACTATTAGTTATCTATAATTCCTAATATCTATTCCTACTCTATGGTTTCAGAAAGATCCTTAATTTATATTCTTTTCCACTTTCCTTTATTAACGTACATGATAAGCGAGTGCAACACAACATCCCAACATCTCAGATAGAAATAGCCATAAAAACACAACAGACTATTAATTAAGTAAAATTAATCGCTATATTCTTCCAGAGCCATAGCGACAACTATCTGACAGGTCCTTGCATTATGTCCTGTCTTGCCGCACGCTCCACAGCGCCTTTCCTTCATTCGCGCAGGCCCTCCTTGACCACCACTTCTCGATGGTCCAGCCACCGCCTGCGCATCAACATCCGTTTGGTCAATTACTTGCCTTCCTTCCTCTACTGTCATCACCCCTCCTTTCTGTAGCCGGGTTCTTTTTGCCCTCCGCCGCCGGCTTAGTATCTCATTTGCCGGTTCAAGATCTTGGACCCTGGCCTCTAATAAGGCAACCTTATGCATAACTATCTTTGTTCCCTTAGAAGAAGACCTCAATGCTTCTAGAATCGACTCTGGAGAGCTACTTTTATGCCTTTTGATTCTCTTTTCAAGATATTCAAGCTGAGGGTCGGCCTCAAGGATAGTCTTTGGGGTCTTTGAGACCCAAGGGGTCGAGGGACTAACCACCTCCTCCGCAGGCGTCGGAGTCCGCAGCTGCACATCGAGCTTCGAGATTACACTTTCTGGGTCAAGAGGAGCTTTAATATTTTTCTCTGTCATTGTGGCCTGGTAGGCGGTGTAAAAAGCCGGGAAGAACTCGGTTTTGGAAATGTGGGTTACAGAGCCTCTGATCAAATGCTCGATTTCTCGCCCGTAAGCCTTCTTAAGCAGGCCAAAGCACCCGACATCAAGAGGCTGCAGCAGATGAGACGAATGAGGCGGCATACAAAGCGTGATGATTTTATTTGCCTTTCAATATCTCTCAAAGTCGACCGAGTGGTGACTTTCGTGTCCGTCGAGGATCAGGAGACGATAGCGATTCTTTGATTGCTTGGTAGTACACCGGTCGAAGTGCTTTAGCCACTCGAGGCCTATCTCGTTATCGATCCAGCCATTAGGACTCGTCGCAATAGCCCAATCGCCCGGGAGGCCGCTTTCTCGGTACCAGTTGGCGAGGTGATATTGGCCCGCACCTATGATGAACGGCGCGATCGCTTGGCCCTCGGCATTGATCGCCTGAATGACTGTAATCCATTCCCGGTTTCCAGGCTGCACTGCTTTTGGTCTTCCACGCCTTTCAGCACCTGTGACGACCATTCCGCTCGCAATGACGCCCATCATAAAGCCAGTCTCGTCAAAGTTAAAGATTTCATCAGGTCGGATGCCATACTTGGCGATTACATTCGCTACGAGCTTAAACCAGTTGCCAATAATGGTCGGATCTTCACATTTGGCTCTCTGGTAGTCATATTTACGGAAAAAATGTGTCTTGAGGTCTTTGTGTCGCTTGACGAAGTTAGAGGCCCAGCGCTTGCCGACAGGCGGCGTCTCGCGGTCGGCGAGCAATCGGTTAGCCATCTCCTCAACACAACGCAGTCGCGGGGGGAACCCTCGCGAATCCAGATTGAGAATGAACTGAACTATGATATGTTCCTCTAGATCAGATAGTTTGCGTGATTTTGGGATAGAATCACGCGTAGAAAGGATACCCTTCTGTCGGCGATGTAAAGTCCAATAACGGACCTGGTAGATGCCTGCGGCGCGTCGGAGACTTAATTTTGGGTCATTTTGAAGGGCACGACGTGCAAGAATCCTAGCCTCAATATTTGGGTCTGACATATTTGGTGGTTGAAAATTAATTGATTAAGTTGAGACGATGTAAATTGCGGGATTTTTTGTTGCACTCGTTTGTCTGTTGCACTCGCTTATCATGTACGTTACAATTGATTTTGTTATTGACTACTAGGGCTTGTTGTGGACGGTGAAATAAACGGTAGTGTTCATGTTGATTTGATTGATTTGATTGATGCACTATATCAACTCCGTGGGCGGAGATCCCTACGAGAAGCCATCCCTCATGTGTCCCAAAGGTCAGCCACCCACCCAGCTACCCAACTTTACTCCGCCCTGCCTGACCCAGTTCTTAAGGCACTGAACGTGTTCCAATGTATTCGAGCCCATCGAAAGCCTCTGAGACGTCAACGTCAACGTCAACTTCGCCAGGCTAAATTGCCTCTCACAGTCGCTTGCCATCGCTGGAATAGCAAAGACATCCAGGGCAAAGCTGCTCAGTGAAGGAAACGAAGCCCTGTGGTCTCTCCACCATTGGATAGCATCCTGCGTATCCTGTGGCTCGAGACGGAGATACTTTTCGAGCTCGCCGACACTGCCACCCGTCGCAAACGCTTTCTTTGTCTTGCTATTAATCCACTGAGTGTACTGATCATCCTCTTGACCCATCGTCCTTGGCGCTGCGTCGTACTTCGTTGTTTCCTCGCACAGTCCCTGGTTCGCGTCGTACCAACGGGTGAAGTAATCCTTGATTCCAGCCTTGGCATCACGAACCCAAGTGAGTTGCTCCTCAGACACCCAAGTCGCCTCTAACCAGCTGATCTCGAACCTCGGGTGAAGAATGATTGCTGCCGCAAACAATGGAGATTCTCCGAGCTTGTCATAACACTCATTTAGCTTCTTCCACCCATTGTTAATCGATGCCCGGATATAGGCTCGATGGTCTGCTGGTAATGTGCTCTTTTGCGACGTCTCGGACGCTGATCGCTTCTCCGCCGTAGAATAATCAGCCCGAGAATGCAAGGCAAGGCAGATTCTACGAATCTCGGAGGTTGACTCCGCTGTGGTAGCGCGTAAACCTCATCCTCCTCAAAGCGGGCAGGGAGACGGCGAACGCGGCTTGGCCGACCGTTGGACTCTCGGAAATTTGCTGACGCCGTTGCAGTCCGCTCCGCAGCATCCACTTGAGTTTCTCCCATCGTCTCCTCCGTAACCTCACTATAGAAGACCTTCCAGTCCTCAAAATGCTCCAACAGATATTCCATTCCTATCAGCACCTCCCACAGGCGTCCATGGCTGTCACCTTTACCCCAGCCTTGCGTCCGCATCGTCTGAAGGTATATGGGTTTGAGAATCTCGTTGACTTCGCCAAGAACCCGCCAGTCTTCGCTGGACAATATGTCCTCCGCCGGGATCCGTCTTGCCCCGTCTTCCTCTTCTTGAGTTGCAAAGATAAATGCTCTGATATCTGTCTGCTTTCGCAAAGCCCTCTCAATCATCATGTAAGTGGAGTTCCACCGCGTTTCGTTGTTCATGACAACCTCGAGCTCGGCCGTGGATTCCTCACAGCAGCGCTGACTTCAATTCAAGTAAGTCAAGTTTGGGGGTCCAACTTGATTACTTGAAATAAAATCGTCCATGGACTTACTTAACTTGAATTGAATTGATATACTTGAAATGAAGGTGCTGACCTGAGGCTCCAATAAAACTATTAAGCCTCCCCTCCATCCCAACCCACCAAGTCCCCACCAAAGCTAACCACCTCACCCATAGTGATCGCTTGATGGCGTAGCCAGTTTCGTAGACACTGCATCTCCTCTATTATCTCGGGGCTTATGCTGTGCCTTTGCGAGCTTACCGTTAACTTGGTGACACTGAACGTCCGCTCAGGGTCAACAGACATGGCAGGAATTGCCAGGATGTCGAGGGCAAACTTGCTCAGACGTGGGTATTCTTCTTGATGATCCTTCCACCACAGGACGGGGTTCAAGTTCTCTCGCCGCACTGGCCCTTGCCTCATGTAAACGCCAAGCTCGTCTTCTTCCTCCATCATGCACCGATCGCAGCTCTGCATCCACTGGTCAAATTGACTGGGCTCGTCTTGTCGCACCGCTTTTCCTGTCACCGTCCTCGATGTCTCGGGCTGCTCCTCACGTGGATAGTGCTGTTCAAAGAATTCCCGGACACTGTTTTTAGCGTCTCGTAGCCACACTAGTTGCTCGTCGCTGGTCCAGTTCGCCTCAAGCCAAGACACGTTCCAGCGTGGGTGAAGAATAACGGCAGCCGGATAAAGTGGCGATTGGCCTAGTAGGCTGTAATACTCATCGAGCTTTGACCAACAGTTCTTAATAGAGATCTGGACGCATCGTCGGTGATCATCAAGATTCTCATCTTGCAAAACTACATCAGTGTATTCCTCTCGAGCGTGCTGTGGCAAGTGTTTCTCTCGTCCGCGGCCCTGCTCAATTCGTTGAGTGCTAGATCCTGAGAAACCGTTAGTCAAAGAAGCTTGAAGAGAACGAAGACGAATTAGGGAGTCGTACTTTTGGTTGCCGAGACCCTGAAATTTCTCAGCTCACTGATGCAACCATCAGGTGACGAGAATATCAGGTTTTGTTCCTCAAATAAATTGAGCAAGTACTCCATTCCAATCATTACTTCCTACAAGGCGCCGTGGCGTCCTTCTTTGGCCCAACCCTGGCACCTGATGGTGATCTCATGGAGCGGTTTGAGTAGACTCTGTATCTCCGCCAACAGAAGCCAGTCCTGTGGTGAAAGCTGATCTTGGACATGCACCCGCTGTCGGGGCTCTGACGTCTTCGTTTCGAGATATGCAATGAAATGGTCAATGTGCTCTCGCTTTCGAATGGCACGCTGGATCATCAAAAAGGTTGAATTCCATCTGGTTTCATTATTTTGCATCAGCTCGAGGTCGATGGCAGCTCGCTCCTCTTCAAAGAGTTGATAGCCATCTTCGTCGTTCTGGTCACAAGCCAGAGATTTCATCAGCTCTCTCCGTTGCGGGGAAGCCCTGACGAACCGGACGATGTTATGCAGCTTGCCCACCGCTCCCCGTTTCCGCCAGAGCCGAAGCTCACGCTCTTCAACTTGGAAAGCCGCCTCGGTGAAGGCTTCTCGCTCAAACGAGTCAGAATCTTCTCCCCAGAGAAAGGCTCGAGCTGCAAGGTTAAGAATGTGCCCAAAGCATCTTGTTCGATGGTTTCTAATATCTTCTTCCGCCATTGCAGGATAAAGTTGACGATAGAGGTTCGCCAAGCATGTATCATTGGACGAGGCGTTATCGCAGACACCCGCGCCAATCCTATCTCGTATTCCCATACTCGCCCAAGATATCATATATTGTCGCTGCTTGGTTGTCTCCGGAATGAGATCCCCATACACGGCGCAGAGCAAGGAGTCGCGATTGGACTTGATAGGAGGCGTCGAGATAGTGGGCGTGGAGGCCAAGGAAAGCATACCGGTTTGGAGAAGTCCATAGGTCAAAGCTAAAGCTAATCCTTGTGACCGCCTTCTGCAATTGACTTGATATTACTCCCTTCTTTACCTCGAATAATTTCCGCATAGTATCACGCACTGACTGCCGACTCCACGGTACCTCTTTTGCTAATAATGCATCGTGTAAATCGAGCATTCGGCGCAAGTACGGATTCGATGGCGCCGTGAATGGAAGATTGGCAGTAACGATCCAGCCGACCGTCAACTCCTTCGCTTTATTGGCATTCGATCTTGCAGTAGGAGACTCCAAGCAACGCCGCTTCGAGGGTGGGTGAATGTCAGCGCGAGACGAATACGAATCTTCATCCGCATTGTCATCCGCCTCGGTGATCATATGAGACCTACATCCCGTAAGACAATGGAGAGGTAATAAAGATCAGGCTCGTATAGATATCATTTACCTTCGGAGGTGCTCAATTGGCGATGTTGTATTTGTGGCGACGAATAATGAGCTCTTGCCTCGTTCATCACATTTCGAGCGTACCCAGTAGGTCTGCAACGTCCGTAAATCAGGACTGACTTCTGTGAGAAAGAAGCCATGGGCTTGGATCCAGCTCCTTCGACCTTTGCGATTCTTATTGGCAATGTATTCTTCTGGTATATATTTCTTGCAGCCGATCTGGACAGTTGGGAGGTCGGCGAGGGTCGTTCTTCCAGCTTCAGTCTTGATGGACGCAGCGTCAAGCTGCTGCTTGAGTGATTTGCGCTGGCCACTAATTCCCAGAAGCGATTCTAACGACTGTTGTTGTGCTGCCATAGCGGGTTACCGGCGAATCGCGGAATACAGATGCTTCTCATCAGGGAGCAACGTTAATTCTGAACCAGGTGTTTCCAGCACGCGAGCGAACGCAAAACACGTAGTCGCGCCACCCTTGCCGCGTTCCTGGGTTCCATTGGTGTAATCAACTGGGGTACTACACTCAATTGATTACCCTATGCCTGGGACTCCGAACAGCCTCGACATTCACAGGGCTGTCGCATAGGAAAATCCATAAAATCTAGTATTTCAAGTAAATCAAGTTTGAAGCATTATGAACTTGCTTACTTGAAATAAACTGGGTCATCGACTTACTTGACTTACTTGAAATACTTGACTTGATACTTGAATTGAGGTCAGCGCTGCCTCACAGAGCCGGTATTCCTCGTGATCCTGCTCCCGGGCTATTCGCTTGAACTGTTCACTCCGCTGCGGCGACGAACGGATAAACTTGACAATATTGCGGAGCTTACCAATGGGGCCCTTTGTGCGCCAATGATCCAGGTCCTGCTCAATAAGGCCGCGCATGCTGTTGATGTCAGACTCCAGCTCGAACGAGTCGGCGTCTTTGCCAAGGAGAAAGGCTCGCGCGACGAGATTGAGCGTGTGCCCATAGCATCGCATCCGGCGGGCCTTTATGTCAACAGGCCTTATCGATTGATCGAGCTGCTGGTACATGTGGTACAGACAAGTATCGTTTGCCGCCATGTTATCGGAGATGGCACAGCCAACTCGCCCCTCAATCCCCCATTCGTGGACGATGTCGACCAGAGAACCGGCAAGGTTCTCGTCACTATGAGCACCAGATTGACCACGCAAAGCCAGAAGACGGGACTGCTGATGACCCAGTTGATCTATAAAGTGCGCAAATACAGCCATGATTGCAAAGCGATTCGGTGACGTCCAGAGGTCGAAGCTAATGTGCACCGTTGTCAAAGCGTTGCGGAGCTCTGCTTTGATGGCATCCCGCTTCGCTTCAAAGAGTCGATGTATCTCTCTAGTGACAGAACTACCACTCCACGCCATCTGGAGTACTAAATCACTGTCGAAATGGTTGAAGATCTTCCGAAGGAAGCTGTGCTCGAAGATGGTGAATGGCACATCGCTATCAATGACGAAGCCGACGCTTAGTTCTTGGGATGGCTTTTATTTTCGCCCTTGGTATGGCGCTCTGTTCAAGCCGGCGCCTTTTCGGTGTTGCACCAGAATAAATATCAATGACACCTTCATCACCAGGACTTGACTCGCTAGACTGGCTAGCTGGGGTGATCCGGTGAGCTCTACGCAGGTCTGTCAGCTGCTGGATATCTTGTCAATGAGATTGAACGGGATAAGCATAGACTTTTGAAGATGGTCCGCTGCGGAAGACGTGGCTTGCACCGAAAAGAACTCCGCTGCGCCTCTCATATCACATCGATTGCAGCACCAGACGTGACCTATCGGTAGATCCTGATAGCTCAGCTCGACTAGGAAGGTCCCGTGCGACCTAATCCAGCTCTTCCTTCCCTTTGCACCTTTTCGAGCTAACAAATCCTCCTGGACGAAGCGACGGTTCTTCCAGGTAATCTTGGGCAGATTCTCAATGGTCGGGTTGGGAGGTAAAGCTCCAACGGCTGCTTCTTCCAACTGCTTGGCAACTGTTTTAGGCTGAGACAATCGTGAGAAGACGGAAGAAGGAGGTGTAGGGCAAGGTGTCAATGTTGCTGGCGATGGGGAGAGCGGCGAATTCGACATTTTGCTGATGAAATCCAAAAAAAGCATATGTAGAAGGGGCTGTCTTGGTGGCGCGACATGGTTGGGAAATGCGTTCCAGATTGCATACGCGTGGTGGGGTTACGCGTTAGAACACGATAGTAGGTACTTGGTTTTGGGGCTGACCCACCGCTATTAGAAAGTAGACCTCCATCTGTAACTATCTGGTATAGGGTAGTAGTCCGGAAAGATCTGAAATTTTGCCTCGATATTAGACGATCGCATGATACATTTGTAATATATCAATTATTTCAACTTTCGAAATGCAGGAATTGATTTGATTGAAAGGAAGAATTCGCCAATTTGATTGATTTGATTGGGGTGATTGATTGATTGAGTTGACATATGATGAGCGCTGCTAGACTGATATCATCTCTGCTATCCTGCTAAGCCGATATCATATCAGGATAGGCAAGTCTGACTGCGCAATATAAACAACAGTGAATTGGTCAATTTAAGATGCCTACAGAGGATGATTTCTGGGACGCCCTCTCAAAGGGAGAGCAGAAGCCCGTTTTAGATTGAGACAGAACGCAGTTTCCGGATCAATCTTCGCAGTAAGAAGGAAGCCGAGAACAACAAGATCGAAGAGGATTTTCTGCTTTCATCCAACGAAACAAGGCTAAAGCTCAATGATATTCAAGGAAAGTACGAGTCTTCCTGGCGTCCGACAAACCGCTCGACGGCTAGAAGTGGCGTTGGCCTAGCACTGAACAGGCTGACAGAGGGAGAAATTACGAAATGACGCGGGTTTCTACAATATAATCCAAGGCTTTCCAGATTATACGAAGCTCACCATTAGTAGAGATACAATTCAATAGGTAGAGGATCAAGCTGCCGAGTTAAGGGAAAGGGCCACAGGAGGGATTAGCATCCCACGTATGTGAGGGAGACGGAAAGCCAAGAAGTAGGCAAATTAGATGTATTTACAAAAGAGAACATTCAAACTGTGCCATTACATTTGTGCTCCTTACACCTGTACGCGACGAGAACGTCGCTGAAATACAGCGCCGATGAAGCCCCAATCCCAATCAGGGGGTCGCTCCCGACCACGGGCGGAGCGGACCAGGCTGAGGTAGAGAGGGAAAACACCGCCTACCGCAAAGAGAGCGACGACGATACAGTACGCGTATTGTGCCGACTTGTTGGTTGAAACAGCCAACATGACCCACGGCCAGATGCCTGCTCCCAGGCTACAGCTGCTAATCAACAGACCGCAAGCCAGAGCGCTCCACCAGCCGAGGCCTTGGAGAGCAATGGCTACGACCATGCTGGGAATCCCCCCCAGGAGGATCGACAAGGCCAGAGTCACCTGCTGGACCATGGCGGCCGATGGAAACGTAACCGAGGAGATGACTGCCGCGAGGGTGATGCCGGTTCCGCACGCCGAGAGCAGGATGACTCTCGGGGGATGAAGAGACTCAAGAAGGCGAATAGGAATTGACCAGCGGCGTAAATGGCTGTGAGCGAGGTTTGAAAATCAGAGATCGGTAGCTCCAGTGCCGTCTTGGTTCTGTTCGACACAATGGACAGGATACTGCCGATGGAGGTTCGGAGACTCGCCAACGCCCCGGCGGCACAGAAGCTAGACAGGGCGGCGACTCCCAGAGAGACAACGATAACAGGGACCACACCGAGATGCTTCTCGGAAGTGTCCACAGCCAGGATGCCGGGCCGGGTCCGCAGCTCGGGCTCCATGACGTGGGGGAGCGGCACGTACCAGTAGAGGAGGCCGAGCAGGACTGTGAACAGCGCAATGATGAGGTAAGCCCACTGCAGCGCTACCAGATTGTGAGTGTCCTCCACGTGGATGGCGAGGATCTTAGTCGCGAGCACCGAGCTCAACGTCCCCCCAACGGCTTCCAGACCGGTACCAATCAAGATCCGGGCCGTCGCGTACCTGGGCGGCCCACAGAGGCTGTTGAACGTACTGGCGACTATCTCCATGATGCCCAGGCTGGCCCCGACCATGATGTTGCCGATGACGAAGCCAGTATACGACCCGACAGCCCCGCAAGGCCAGAATATGAGTGTCCCGACGCATGAGATGGCTAGGCATGTCGCAATAGTGGCCTTAAGCCCGACGCAGCGCAGGATCGCACACCCGATTGTTGGGCTGAGGATGCCGGCGCCGACATAGCAGGCTGAGACCATGCCCACAGCCTGCGTGCGGGTTTTGACGATGGGGATGCTCGCGTTGATGGAAAACAGCATGCTGTAGATGAAGCCGTTGAGGAAGAGGAGCAGGTTGATGATGGCGCAGTACTTGACGCATTCGGAGCCACGCATGTCGACGACGCACTTAGGCTGCTCCAGGTTGATAAAGCCAAAGTAGACGGTGTCTTGTTCTGGGAGTATTGGAGGTGTTGAGAGAGAACCAGCCCTGTTACTGTGATGCTCCAACGCATTGGGGCTTGGCGAGTTCTGGGAGCCTGCCTGGGGTGGAAATAATTGCCGCAATGTTCGCGTGCTTCCATGAGAGGTGAGGCGCAACGCGTTGGATGGCGTCAGTCGTCTAATCACTGGGGGAAGAGTCGGGATAGCGGCCCCAATGACGGCCGTGTTGACCTCTACCGCCGACCACAGAAGCGCCATGCCAACATTGACGGGCCTGGGCGCGGTCGCCTGCTCAAGGTCGATGACGGCTAGCTGAAGATTGTAGATGCGCGCCACGTCAATGACTCCGATAAAGATGGCGCCTAGGATAAACGACAGGATTACCATGCTCTTCCGCCATGGCGTCAACGGCAGTGTCGCCAGCGCGGGGATGGGCAGAACGAGGATGGCGAGCTCGGTGGCGATGTTGATGGGCCACGCGCTCAGCCAGATGTTCTGGATGGGGATGCAGCTGTGGTCCCGGGCAGCGAAGTTGTACGCCGCCTCCACGGGACGGCAGCGCAGGGCCGTCATGAAAGTCAGGATGACGCTTCCGACTGACACAACCGCGAGGGTGATGTAGGACCCGACGCGGAGGAACTTCTGCGACTGCCGCGCGATGTCGAGGTAGAGCAAGAGGATTGAGATCTTGGCCGTCATCAGGGCTGGAATGAACATGACCATGGCGGTATACTGGGTCCGCAGCCGTGTGGTGTCCCCATCCCCATCACCAAAGTCCATGGAGGTGCCGAACCCGACTGTGAATGATAGCCCAAAGGCGAGGATCTGATAGTGTTAGTCGCCGTCGTGGCATACGCGTGTATGCGTCTCACCCATGCTGCTATAAAGACATAATCGTCCCAGCCATGGCGCTTCACAATGCCGAAGCGGCCGATGACACGGCCCACGGCAAAAACGCTGGCAACAAGAAAAGTCACCGTAACGATGATGAAGAGGGCTCTGCTGTGCTTGCCGAGGAACATGAACGCTGGATCTGTGAGGCCGCCCTCTCTACCGAGTATGACAGGTTGCTGAGCAGGGCGGGAACCAGCAGGTGACGCCGTTATGTATGGTCGGGGTGCCTCTCTCAGGGGGTGATGGCGACCGGTCTAGAGTGCGACCCTTGCTTGGAGTGACATCTCTGGCCGCGATTCTAGGTTTGACCTAGCCAAGTTGGTTTCCCTGAGCTTGCTCTCGCGAATGGGTGATTTCTACAGCAACAAGGAATATCTATCAAGCGACCCGCGTGCAAGAATAGGCAGAAGACCCTCGGACTTCTCGAACTTTATAGCATTGTTCAGTTCTTGTTATGCGGAACGTCCAGAGATATCATCCCTCTGTCGCGTGGCCTGGAGCAGGGTCACAGCAGAGTGCAGATATTTTGTCAAGCCATCTGGACGCCTTGGCACTGGCCGTGAACCTTGTTTCAAGCCACCGGTAAGCTCCATCATTGTATCTCGACTGTCGTTGTTGAGCGCCTAGTTAATCGGACCCAGTGGGGAAACATTGCGGGATGGCAAAGGTTTATGGATTCAACCATACCGTTGATCAACTCAAAGTGTCGATCATTGTGGTAGATCACTGCCGGGCACGCTTTGTCATCCAGAGAATGCCTCTCTCTGAGCGACCCGGGGAAGCGGAAAGGTGGACCTCAGGTAAGCGCTCAAGCCTGACGCCACCAGTCCGAGCGGCCGCAACGCCAGGGGTACATCAGCAATTGAGCCGCGGCAGCCCCGCTGATAGGAAGGGCTAGCGAGATATGCAGATGCTGTTTTCCTGCCTAAAACTAGGGAGACTGTAGCATAATTGATGACAGCGGTGCCTAACGCTCCTTGGCATTTGCTTAGAACATGCATGTCTAATTTGCAAAAATGCGAGCCGTTGGATAGCAATCTTGCTTCTAGACGAGGCGGTTGTATTTCTAACTCGGCGCACCAGCAAACTATGGATCAGCAACCTGACCTCATGTTTTCTGCAATAATTAGAGCAATTTAAATGGCATCTTGTTCCTCATGACTTATCCAGTGCAGCCATTTGATGAGGCAATGAGCAGAAGTCGTGTTGTGTTAGAATACAAACGTTCCCCGCGCGCTTAACCCCGCATCTCCAGAAGCAACGTCACCGATCGACAGCAGCCAACACGTTAATTAGCTCAGGCAGGCCCCCCGGTTTCATAGCCTAGGTCAGTCATTGCTTCAGTGCCAAGCGGTTTCGAGCTGCCGCCATGCGTGCTGCCACCACCGCCGCTTCCATTGCAGCCCCGCTTGCCACCAAAGGGGGACATACTGGAGGGCCTCGGTCGTGCTGGCCAAAGAGAGACTAGGTTCACTCTTGCATTTCTGTTGAGGCCACCGTTTTATATTCATCGCAACGACCCATCGCTTTAGTTGTGCACCACGATGGCAGCATCATCAGCATCTCGCGAGTCCAAGCCAGTGCTCGCAATAGTCCAATCAGTCCGTCTAAACTCCTCCGACTGTCCATTTAGTCCGTCCGACTTGGTCAGACTAGATCAGCAGTCTAGTCGAGATGCCCAGACTGGACTGTTAGTCCGTCTGGCACCTTTAGGCCAGACTACAATACAGACTACAGTCTAGACCTCGTAAACGACGCCCAGCTCTCCCTTCTACCTCTGGGCCCAAGCTACCCGCCACATAACTAATACCGGTACACTGCTACCTGATCACGTCTCTTCCGCTAGCTTACCCACAAAAGTTCCTAAACATCAGGCATAGCATCTATAGCTGCCGGAGCAACGCAGCCATGCTAGAATTCATTAATTAGAAAATGGCATGTACACCTTACAGAATGGAAAACTTACTTCCGACTGGGCTATCAGAGCGCTCCTGTCCCAGGATCGTAGGCATTCCAAAAGATTCAATGTTTCAATGTTCATAGATCCTCGCTGGTCGGTGACTGTCAATCTGGCTTTGGAGAAGAGTCGCTCTGTCTCAGCAGACATAGGCGGAATCGATAGGATGTCGATGGCCATCAACGACAGGTTAGGGGATTTTCTTCGCTGAGCCAGTTCGAGCCACCATTTCAAAAGATCCGATATCATCATCACAGGTTCGCGACAGTATACTTCGTACTCGTCATCATCCATGTTCAAAATCGTGGCCTTTTGCTCTTTCATCTAGATCTTGTATCCATTCGGCCGTCTCGTAGTGGGTTCTGGTTCACCGCTTTGACGGAGAATGGGACCGGGTGTGGTTGGCTTGTATGTCTTGCTCCACAGCTGTTCTACACGAGCTTTAGCCTTCTCGATCCATTCATTCTTATTTGTTAAAGCAAAAACGGGTTAATTGTGTTGTTGTTCGTTCTAAGTTACATGTGTCCGAGAGGAGCACAGCTCCTTACATAGTATCCACATCCTGCCACACTGTCTCAACAGCCAGGATACAGACGCAGATTTCTCGTCGCTACAAAAAGGGAACGTCTTTTGTGTTATAGAGGGTGCGACTGAAAACCTAATTGTAATGACTGTAATATGGATGACTCTGCGCCATATCTCCTTTTCTAATCGTTCCATTAGACTTCAAAACACGATGTCGGCAATGCTAGCCGGCGGTGCTGCAGCGTGGACTTCGTGGATCCAGGCTATGCGGTCGTCGAGCGCGGATGCTAGTTGCGATGCAAGAAAATCAAGAACGCGTTCAGACGCAAGGCTTAGTCGATCTACTTCCGTTGCTGATAGATTGTCCAGGGCGAGCTGCTTCAGTCTGTCTCTCGGGCTTTCAGGAGGATGACGACGCATCTGCACCGCCGGCACTTGTGACCATGTGTGGGCTCTCGACAGCGTAGCCCGCTGAGGAAGACGGGAGGTTTCTAATGCAGACTTTCTGAATTCGCCAGGAGTACCCGTCTGGTTGACGCCCTGGTCCACAGTCCGACCTGACCCCATGAGTTCTGAGTTATTCAATGCTAGAAATAAAAACATAGTTTACCTAGCCGTGATTTCACTACTCTACCAGTCTAAGCTAGGTGCTAAAGAGGTAAACATATCAATTGCCTCAGCCCTCCAAATGTCTTGTTGCAGTGAGACTCCATTCTCAGCGCTAAAAACCAGGTTTCTTGGGTTGTCCCGGGAGTATACTGGCCACCTTACTTTCAAATCGGGCACTGCTTAACATTAGCCGGCTTTCTTTAAAAACAGGCGCTTTCTCCAAAGCACTCAATGGTAGGAATAATTAACTATGGCAGGGGAGACTTACCATAGTGAAAGTTAGGTGATCCTGTAACCACGAAGCTGATCCACATACGACTCATAATTTCAGCTAGCTTCAAATACTTCTGCCTCTTCTTAGGCTCAGAAGGGAAAGGGTCGGTATCCCAACCAACGGCTTGGGTATTAGCAAAGGTAAATGGAATTTCCTGAAAGTGAGCCACGCCGAGTGTTTCGAGGTCCAGGTTGGCAGGCGGAGTGTCAAAGAAATAACTATAGCTTGGCGTGCGGTAATCAGCCCACTTCTGGCTGGCGAATCGTCGACCAGCCGTAAAGAGAGCGTCTCCAAGCCAGAGGCTTGTCTTTCCATACTGGGCTCCTAGCTGTGGGCCTGGATTAGACAGAATTGATCCCAAGCTTGCAGGAGAGGGCCTATCGACTTCCATCTGATACAACGTGGACCAATTGGCCAAGGCTGCTTCTTCCACGGGTCGCCCAAGAAGTCCCTTGACGGACGCCAAAAACTCATCATCAGAGTTTACTGTTAAACCAAGTAGCTGCGTAAAAGACGTGCCTTCATTTCGGTTAGACCCAGTCAGGAGAGGAACTTTAACGAACGATCCCGACTCGAGAAGACGTGAGCCAGTTGACGTAAAAAGCTCACCATCGACGACCCAGGCCGTAGGAAGCATCTGACTGACTCTTCTCAGCGCCTCGCCGGGAACAGCACGCAGACATGATAGCTGATCTTTCGCCTCAGTACAGCCCGTTTCCTCTAGTACTTTGTTCGAGTAGGCCTCCGTCTCAGTTGCGTTGCGATATGAAGACGATGATAGAGGACCTCCGCTTTGCGCAATAGCGCCGCTGAAAAGCCCCTCGTTCCGACCTCCATAAGCGATGAGATGCTGACCGACAGAAGAAGCGCCTGCAGATTCCCCAGCAATAGTGACTCGCGAAGCATCGCCGCCGAAATATGCGATGTTTTCCTGTACCCATCGAAGCGCCTGGCGTTGGTCATGGATGAAGACATTCGGTGGCCCAGCCTTTGCTGCAGCCGGCCCGTTCATCATGCCAAAAACGCCCAGGCGGTAATTAAAACTGACAAAGATGATAGGCGTGCCCATCTGAACTGACGTCTCGACTAAAAATGAGCCATTGTATCTGGGATCCCCTGCGCTACCCTCAACCCAGGCGCCGCCGTGAATCCAGGCAAAGACCGGAAGCTTGCGAGACTTGTTGATGCCAGACGGACGGATGATGTTAATCTGGAGGCAATCCTCGCTCATGGGCGCAGACGTGTTCTGGCTGAATCCTACGAGTCCAGCAGAGTTGCCCAAACACAACGGTCCATATGACTTGGCTGATTTGATCCCCTTCCAAGGCCTTGGTGGCTGAGGCAAGCTAAATCGAAGGTTTCCGGTCGGGCTCGCAGCGAATGGTACGCCGAGAAATGCATCTTGATGGCGGACTGAGTCATATGAGCCTGCTAATGTTCCATTTCTGATATTGACAATGGGAGTGGAAATGTGTGTTGTTGGAGTAGCCCAAGAAAGTGGTGCAAGGAAAGGGAGAGCCCACAGTATGTGGAAAATGAGCTTCAGAGCACGCTGCATTTTTAGCAGTATTGAGACTGGTTAAAGTATATAGAGATAGCTACCCAAGTGTGAGGTGTTGAGGACCTTGACTTTAAGGAATCGCGCTGCATTTATATAATTACGGCAAGCTAAACTACAAAATCGCAAAGCGGCAGATGACAACGGACAACGGAAAAGTGCGAAGTGCGCGCCCTTACAAATCAGTCTCGACATGTAAAAAGATCCGAACACAGATGCGACCGCTATTTAGATTAGCTTGATCCAAAAGTTCCACAAACGCAATGTCAGGAAATTGCGGCATAGGCTACGTCCACCTTACCTCAGACATTAATCAGCATCAGTCGCCCCACTGGCAAATTTCCATCAATTACAGTATTTCCTATTTTAGCTTTAAAAGGAAATCTAGGCATGCATAAGGACATAGCATATGACAATAAGACCACGCTACTCGCATCTTAGCACTGTAGTTAATTAAGACCATGAGTAGAATGAACTGGTCATGATACATATCCTTCAATACATTTTGAACAAGGTGTGTGTGTTTGTTTGTTTCTCTTTCTGGCCATCAACCAGTCTCCATCTCTTCGAAACAATGATTTCCTCAGTTAGTTCTCAACAACCAGATTTGTCATAACCCAATTACAAGGCTAATCTTAATCTTGCACTTCAGGCCCTTCAAGATAAACTAAAACTAAGTATCCCACGCGCCGCAGAGATCTATACAGTCGATCGTAATAACTTACGTCGCCGCCAGCAAGGGGCTTAATCTTGATGCGATACTATGCCTGACTCACGGAAGCTATCTGACCTAGAAAAAGAGACTCTTCTTGAGTTTATTATCGACCTAGATTCGCGAGGATATCCCCCGCGACTGCGTGGTATTGAAGAAATGGTTACTCAACTGCTTAATAACCGCGATGCATCACTAGTTGACAAGCGATGGGCTATTAATTTCATTAAGCAGCAACCAGACCTTAAGACGTGTTTTCAGCGGAGGATATACTACTGATTTAAATACAAGAGAACCCTGCATATATCTCACTCGATACCACCCACGCGGCTTGTAACCCTGTCTTAGTGCTACTGCGTCTGATTGATCTGTCGTCCGAGATAGACCCCGGTCAAACTGCGGCTCAGTGAGTTTTCCTGGCTGACCGCGTCGGTCACTCCGGACGTTGGGCGCTACTACTCCAGAGCCAGGATGAATGGATCTCCATGCGCAACAGAGGGGTTCTGGTCTAATGAAAAAAGAATACACTGCTGCGAGTTCCAGTCACCACCTCAGCCGAGTCCAGACTACCGCTATAACTCATGAAATTCGGTAGCGCCTGTGGATCCCATTAGTGTCTCGCTAGCCCTATTAGGAAGGTAATTCAATGAGGCTCTTCCCCGCACATATCAAACCGGTGATCCAAAAATATGCAGCCCTGGATTCTGTTGAGACAGTGTGGCTAAGGTGGTCCGACCTACTGGTGGCTGCGATGTGGATACTATGTAAGGAGCTGTGCTCCTCTCAGACACATGTAACTTAGAACTAACAACAACACAATCAACCGTTTTTGCTTCAACAGATTCAATTTAATCGCGCACCACTTTTTGCATCGCAATTGAAGTCATTATAATACATACTATATATCGAAATGACTGGTGAATCGAGCTCTGTCCGGCGGTATAATTCTGGGGCCGGGCGACCGGCCAAAGCCGCAAAACCTGGGCCGAAAATAAAGTCAATCCAGGATCGGATCTATAAGGTCAAAAAGCCGGTTAGGCGGAAGGAAGAGTCTCACCCAAGGGCTCGCCGGCTTGCCGTTGTAATGTTTCTCTATCATCACCGCATTTTCGATCCTGACCATCACAAATCAATTGAGGGATACAGAAGACCTACGCAGAAGGAAGCTGCTGCTTACTTTCAAGTTAAACAGCAAACAATTAGTGATTGGTATAGGCATGATATTATCTCAATTGAACAGGAAAAACGAGCTTATTCCCCCGTGTGGCCGCAGCTCGAGAAGCAATTGTTTGAAGACTTCATCCAGCTGAGACTTCAACAGCGCGCTGTATCAACTGCATGGTTCAGAAAACGGGCAAAAGATATATTCACATCATCAGTATCATCCGAAGAACAAGCTGTACTATTTACATTCTCCAATGGCTGGTGGGCAGGCTTCAGGAGGCGATATAATATCATCAAGCGCAGAGTCACAAAACGGGCTACTCAACAACCTGAAGCTTATCGCGAGATATGTGGATCTTTCTGTAAATTCATCAAGCGCGTACAACACGATCAACAATTATCACCATTGAAACAGCAATTATCACCCAAAATGGATATTGAAAACATCCTTGATACGCCCCGAAGACGCTTTAAACAACGGTATACTTTAAATGTTGATGAGACGCCTATAGCCTTTGAAATTGACTCTGGAGATACCTGGGATTTACAAGGCTCTAAAACTATATCGGTAAAGACTGTACGCAGTGGGTGGGAAAAGCGGCAGGCAACGGCGATTTTGTATATCTTTGGGGATGGCGTTTGCCGGCTTGAACCTACGATTATATTTAAAGGTTCCCCAAGCGATAAAAGCAGGATATTTAAAGATGAGGGTAATCAGTACGCTCCGGGGATCAGGGTGATATATAATGAACACGCATATAATAACGAAGACCTGATGGAATCGTGGTTGAAAGAAGATATCCCGACCGTCAAATCAGCAACTGAGGACTTCCTTTTGGTGATGGATGCCGCCTCTTTCCACCTTACGGACCGGATCAAGGTCGAAGTCAGGAGACAGCTGTTGACTTCAGCTCTTATCCCGGCCGGCTGTACGAGCTTATTACAGCCGTTAGATACGACAATAAATAGACTATTTAAACAGTTTTATCGTGAGGAAATGGATATATATGAGTTAGAAGAAGAACGGAAAGGAAAGACCTATTGGACGATCAGCGAAAGAAGAATCATGACAACGTGGATTGTCCACAGAGCTTGGGAGAGGATAAAAAAAGAACGGGATATAATAAGAGACTCGTTCCTTCGAGCAGGAATAACTACAAGACCAGACGGAAGTCAAGATCATCTTATTTCCATCAAAGGAATTGAAAATATCGACTTTTCAGGCTGGGAGAAAGCTGGGGATACATCTATCAAGTCAGAAGAGCTTGTGGACCGGCTGTGTGACGAAGAGGAGCTTTCCTTCGGTCCCGACGAGGAATATGGCGAAGATACCCTCATTTTCACACTCAGACGATTGAAAGTCTCTCAATTACGGCAAATGGCTTCTTTGAACAACATTTCCTCGTTAGGGAAGAAGTCCGACCTTATTGAACGTCTGAGAAGTCATCTAACTACTATAGAAAAAGTTGGGGACTCAATTACAGTCCAAATCGAGGATCCTGACGTTGTATTCGCAGTAGAAGATAGTCATAGTTAGTCCTGACCGTCAAATTGATCATCAACCCAGAAAAAAGCCTCCCCTTCCTGCCACTCGCGATAACGGCCGAGTCTTTGATCGAATTTATTCCACCTTTTTCCCCTGCGTTCAGGCTTACAAAAACACCATTTTCCCATCTTCAGGACATCGTCAACTAATTGACAACTTCGTATTCTAACCCAACCGTAGTAGATATCGTTTTTCGTCAGGGAAATCCCTTGAGGTTGACCGGGCGAAGAGGGGAGTCAATAAACAAGGCGGTAGGTCTGTCCGATCTCGAAGCATTCGTCGTCATCGAAATCTTCGGTTACATCTGTGAAATTCATCAGGGTCGCCAAAAATTGCCGTTCTTTCGCATACATATACATATGATATCAATAAATGCATTCCTAAAATTAGAAGTCATTGCGACCGTTAGAAGTCGAGATATCGGCGAGTTACCAAGGAGGGGAAGGACAGTGGAGGTTGGGTTCGCAAATTGGTGGTAACCACATACAGTTAGAAACTGCGGGCCCATTCCTTAGCTTAGACCCACAGGCGCTACCGAATTTCATGAGTTATAGCGGTAGGTGGCATCTGGTTCATGGGCAACAGCGGTTCCAGGCGCAACTGAGGCCTTGCATGAATAACGGACAAACATGGAACTTATGCCACGCTACCCGAAGGACTGTATCGCCTTGGGTTCTTGGTAATAAGCTCCGAGGGAGATATCACTACGGCCGTATTAAACCTCTCTTGGAGTTAGAGTAATTCATTCATACTCATTAGAGCTAATTTATCCACCCGTCATGGCCTTAGACGACCCGGTTGCGGACCCCGGATTTACCACGGGAGGACCTCACCCCGCTTGGCCAAGAACTGATTCACCTCGTCGTCCCTATCACCCCTCACAATCTCCGTTATCCCCTGGGCACTCGTCTCCGAAGACTCTGCCCCTCGGTCAATCTTGCTCTGCTTATCCTCCCCGGTCAAGTTGGTGACCACGAACCCAGGGCAAAACGACCAGACCTTCGCTGGGTGCTCCCATTCCTTGAACTTATAGGCCTGAATTCCGGTAACCATGTTCAGCGCCGCTTTGCTGACGCGGTACGTCTCTCCCGCAACCTGTGTATATGGGGAGGAGTGATCGTTCCGCACCGTGATGGAGCCGAGGACCGAGGAGACGTTGATGATCCGAGGATCGCGGGACTTCCGCAGCAGATGCTCCAGGGCCTGGGTCAGGAGCATGGTGCTGAAGACGTTGGTGTCGAAGACGGTGTGGAAATTCTCTCGCGAGACCTCTTCCTTGCCTGAAATGCCGGCGTTATTGACGAGTACGTCGAGGACGCCAAAGTCAGACTCTAGTTTCTGCGCGGCAGCCTTGATGGACTCGTCGGAGGTGATATCGAGCTCAAGGAAGCTGAGTGTGCCGGCAGGCTTACGTGCCTGGATCCCGTTGAGAGCCGCAAGGCCCTTGACGCTGGAACGGGCACCCATAATGATGTGGTTGTCTGGCGAGTCATTGGCGAGGGCGTAGGAGGTGTCATAGCCAATACCGGAGTTGGCGCCTGGGAAAGCTAAGAGTAAGCCAACAGACAATTGACACTTGACGAAAATGGTACTGACCGGTGATGAGAATGATCTTCTTGTTGGGTGCCATGATAATGTAATTGAGTACTGGTTCGGGCTGAGTGGAAATTGGTGGAAAGAGCAGGTTCGAAGACTGTTGCGGTTGGAATGTGCATTTGGCAACTCAGGGGATGATGCTGTCTGGTTTAATACACCTTTATAGCGAGATAGGAATCCAGTCTCTCCATACTACGTGGTTTTGCGTGACTTCGCACCTCTACGGGCTGGATGTCCGAGGTTGAGAGTCGATTATGGACTAGCGGACCATCTTCGTCCGCGTGAGATGTCGTAGGCTAGTCTACTTCTGGTAAGTTACCTGGCCGGACTGACGGTTTAACGTAGTAGTTGCTGGTAGTTCAGCTTTGTGGTGTCTTCTGCGGCAAAGTAAAAGTTTGATTATAAATACCGGGCTCGAAGATCCGCTGATCAGTTAGTACCTGGAAGTATTGTATTAGTACATTACCGCTGGTTCTTATCCAAATGGCAAAATACGCCGTTGCATCAGCAAACAAACAAACCAATGTCCTCTCGGAGACTATGGCTCAAGCTGTCATCGAGCCTTGAGCACAGGAACAGAGCAGCAAACTTCACGGCATGGAGACTTCTCAGGAGTCATGGGCGGCAGCGATTCGGGTACGTTCGCACGGTAGTCAGCACTCTCGGCCTGGTGCCCCCTAGACATTGAAGGAATGGAAGAGGAGCGTTCTAGTGGAGCTAAGTTTGTAAGTGAAGGAACGCTTTGTCATAAGGCCGTGTCGAGACCAAGTCTCTCCTTATCTCAAACGCCGCTAAGCGGAACTCTCCCGACCGCCAGCTCGGGCTTAGGCGCTCTACCCCTAAAACGTCATGTGGCTTGAGATTAAGCTCGAGAGTCGGCGAGAAGGTTTCGCCGGTTGCGAAACGGGGAAGCTTCTGGGTTTCTGAAAAAGCCCGACGGCACTTGACTGCCGAGTTACCCTGCCGCACGCAATAGGTACAATCTGGAAGAAAAGACTCGGCCCTTGTTAATTCGGCGTAATGAGACGTAAACTAAGAAAATCTCAGGGTCTTAGATGTGGATCTTGAAGAGTTAGCTATGCTAAAAAGAGGGACACGCTTATTCGGAAGATATCCATAGCCTGGGTGAGGACTCGCCGATCTGGTTGTTCCCTGCGCACGGACGGTCTTGGGTGCGTATTGCGCGTATCAAGACGTATAACAACGTAATTCGCCAAATTGTGGTGGATCCTAACGGGTCCTGGACTTTGGCGGCGTCATTGGATTGGTCCAAGGTCAAGCCGTCTTAGCCCCGTTTTGCTACTTCCTTAGCCTAAACTTAATTTTAACACTACCATCCAGGACCACCTAATGCATAACCCCACCTAATGCATAACCAAAATTTCGCTCCTCCCATACAAAATCCAAATTTTGATGTCCACAAAAACAGGCCCGATTCTCAATTAATAAATGAGGCTTTGGAGAAAGTTTCTAGAAAATTGCTCAATTTTTACTGTCTGCGTGGTTTTTTGACCTCCCGACCGCTCCGTGTGCGCTGGCAGTGCTTTGTTACGACCATAAAGTCATCACTTTCGTCCTCTGACCTGACACCCACCTCAATCACCGACTCGACCTCCTCATCCACATCCACCTCTATTTCTGCCTCTTTTGAGTCAGGGAGAGCTTCTCCAGCCGCTAGATTCTCCGACAGAGCCATGAATCGTCGGTTCGGGTTTGGTACCGCCTTTCTTTTCTTCCCTCGCCGCACCTGGGCCATCTGCTCCTCGAGGCCAGTAATCCGCGCATTCTGAACGGCCACCTTCATCTCTAAAGCTTCCAGCCCCTTTGCGATCTTACTGTACTTCCGCCTGGTCGGGCGGCTTCGGTGTTTGGCCATTTCCCTCACTTGCCGGCTCGTTTTCGGCGTATCATCTGAGTGCAGTTGAGGAGGGCTCGGCGTCTTGAACTCTTCCAACAATTTTTCTTTGTCCGGTTGAATTTCCGGATGTGCTAGAGCTTTATACCGATTTATTGGCCAATTTCCAGTAAACCTCCAGCCGGATAAGATAATATCTTTCCTCATGCCCGCCTCCCTGGCTTTCGCGTATGCCCGGATAAAGTTGACTTTGTCAACCGGCGCAGAATCGGTCAAACTAGCCAGCTTTTGGAGTTCTTTCCGGTACGCACCTTTGATAACATTAAAAATTCCATTATCTAATGGCTGCAGACCATGGGAACAATGTGCTGGTAAGTAACAGCAGTAGACGTTGTTCAGAAAGCACGTAGCCATCCACTCGTCCTGACTGCTCGTCAGCGACCCTAAAGCGGGTGACTCAGCGGCGAAAACACCGAAATGCTCACCTGCGCATGGCTCCCGTGACCGTCAAGGATAATAAGTCTCGCATCCGATGCATCACGAGGCTCCGTTTGTGGTAGATAAACGTTCTTCAACCACTCGAGAGCAATATGGTTGTCTGTCCAGCCGTTCGGTGATGTGATGTAGTGCCAGTCCGCTATTAATTCGAATTCGTTAAGGAACCACTGCTTCTGCAGCTCTTTTCCTTTAAAGATAATTCCCGGTTTCAAAGCACGGCCAGTTGCGGTGACAGCCTCAATAAACGAAGTCCAGGTGCGCGACTGAACGCCTTTCAACATCGCCTTCTTCTTCGGGTCAGAGCTCCCGATCACGAGGCTGTCCAGGCCTCATGGACAACCAATTAGCTATGCCCTATAAAAGCCTATAGAGTACTTATAGAAGACTTACCGAAACCCACCATTATGCCGCCCTCGTCCACGTTAACTGTGTTCTCAGGCTTGATCCAGCCGTACTCGTTCTCCCTGATATCGAAGTACCAATTGACCGCCTTCGGAGTAAAGCCGTCAAATCTGGCGGCTTCTTGACGTTTTCCAATCTTGGTAGATAGTTTTGGGTGACGTTTGACGAACCTGGTGGTCCAGTGCTTGCCTAAAGGTTTGTTATCGCCTTGTTGTTGAAGGATGGCCTCGACACAGGCGCGGACCTGGCTGTGCGAGGGAGCATAGCCCAGAGACTCTTGTCGCAGCACCCAACGAATAAGCGTCTCCTCCTGGCTCTTTGGAATACGCTGGTGGGCCTGGATACGTTCATTCCTGCTTGCTTGACCGGAAAGTCGTCTCGAAATGGTCCACTGAGGTACTCCACGTTTCTGGGCCGCCTCATTCTGTGAGAGGCCTCTATCGGTGGTGTCGAATATAGCCTCAGCTACGTCATCTTCGGTATAATTACGGCGAACCATTACGGAAGGAGTTGTGGCGAGTAAATTAGGTGAAAGTTCGGCTTGAGTGGATGGAGTCGCCTAGGGTACATGAGATGAAATGCGACAAAATTCAAAGGGCTAGAGAACCAGGCTACAGGGCGGAACGGGAAAAATTCAAGCCGATATGAAAATTTGATGAAAAAAGCAATATAGTGCAGGTCTTCGTTCGCGAGTATCTTCATGCCTGGCCGAATACAATGCAATTGAAAATTTGGATTTTGTATGGGAGGAGCGAAATTTTGGTTATGCATTAGGTGGGGTTATGCATTAGGTGGTCCTGGATGGTATGACATGCGTATGAGTCCGACATTTATTCCTTTTCAGCGCCTTACTGGAGAAATAGCCTTCTGCTTCCCCTCAATTGACCTGAAAAGAAACGATAACTGACCATCCTTCTTCGAGGGTAGCGGTTCAGGACGACGTTTGGTTCCCTTGAGATGGCAAGTCCTTGATACTCTGTCATCCAGATGTCCCGAGCACCAGCAATAGCTGCCTCATGCCAGTCTCGGGGCCAATTTTGCTGAATATATGCTAGTCGCTTAGAAGGATCAAGTAGTAAGGCGGCAGCATAGACCGGGACATCTTCAGTCATAGTATACCGGTACTTGAATTGGTCTGGTTCTGTAGTGTAAGAATGACGCCGGTGTAGCCATTCTGTCACGCCGGTGTAGTAATTGCCATGCGAAAACTCGAGAGAAGATCGGGTATCGGGGCATGTTTTGCAGAACTTCCGTGATACCGGCACCCTTACCCTGCACAAATATTCGGATTGGATTGGTGTGGCACTTAAGTACCAAGACTACCGCACGGCATTACAAGCGACGCCAATGGTAGTGCACCAATTACTGTTTCAGCCGAGACGTGGTAAAGGGCCTTTCTTTTCTCGCTTCGTATTGACTTTTCTTGGTTATGGTTTCTCAGACCGAAACTTCGGATCATCAGCAGGCATCCACTTCCTGGCTGACTCAGCGGCAGTTATAAATTCTACGCGAAGGCCGACTGTAGCGTCAAAATGAAATAAAAGAGTAGCTTAGTGGAGCCAGCGGGTTATCTACGATCTCAATGACGGAATCTGTATCTCAATTTGCCAGGGATCAGGCCAAAGTGGATGCTTTCCATTTTCTCCATATACCACCGTCCGCCCACTTCATCGATATCCGAAAGTCTTTACGAGTATCTTTACGAGTATAAAAGCCACAATGTAAATCTCCAACCTACCTCTTTCATCCTCTTTCAACATCCTCATTCTGCTTGTTTCACCACCCACTGGAGAACGTCAAAATGCTATTAAACCTTGCATTCACCAATGTCTGGCTCTTAGCAGCCTTGCCAGCCATTTACTTGCTGGGCTGGATCATCTATACACTCACCTTCCATCCTTTGAGCAAGATTCCCGGTCCTTACCTGGCAAGAGTCTCACGATTGTGGTATTTGCGCAAGATCTGGACAGAGGATGTTGAGAAGGATGAAAGAGCTCTCCATGCCAAGTACGGTCCACTCATCCGCATCGCTCCAAATGAAATTTCATGTTCTGAGTAAGTCGAGAGATTACCCATCACATATGAGACTACTTACGGATGTTCTTGGTAGCCCCGAGGCTTTTGCTACCATCTACCGTTTCTCTAACGCTTTGGACAAAGCGGAATTCTATGAGCCTTATAACACAACCGGCTTCAGCCCCCATGGTGACGTCTTTTCGTGCAAGAGCGACAAGAAGCACGGCCAGAGGCGCAGGATCACTAGCAACATCTACTCAATGACCAATGTGGCCAAGTCAGAGGAGTACATTAACTCTTGCAGTGATCTTCTCACAGAGCGACTGGGCCAGTTCGCAGACTCGGGCAAGCCTTGTGATATTGGCGAGTGGCTTCACTGGTGAGTAGATTACCGCTTGTAAGCCCGTGTGACTGCCAGAATATTTTCTCATATATTCTAGGTACACCTTTGACATCATCGGAGAACTCTTCTATGGCCGTGCGTTCGGATTTATTGACGAAGGCAAGGACCAAAATGACTGGATCAAGTCTCTCGACAAGATGATTCCTTTTGTGTGCTTGATGGGTGTTGCGCCACCAATCCTTCGACCATTCATCGGTCTGGGAACTATGCTTTCGTCTACTGGTAAAGAAATCAGAAAGGGAGTGTACGTCAACGCAGGTTACGAGACTGAATCTTGAATATAGTTGCTGACGGATCGGCTTAGCAAAAACATTGGTGAATCATCTTCACGACTTATGGAAGAATCCTACGCCTCGCGTCTTGAAGCCCCTCGAACCGACATGGCGCAACAGGTCTTTAGCATCTACGAAAAGAACGGAGAAAAGATGGACTACCGCTGGGGAGATGTCGAACAGGAGTCCTATGGTGCGCTCTTTGCCGGCAGTGATACTACGGCCATTGCTTTCCGCTCGTTGTTCTACCATCTTATGCACAACCCTGAAGCTTACAGCCGCCTTGAGGAGGAAATCGACCAGGCAGTTGATGATGGTCGTTTGAGTATGCCTGCGACTTATAAGCAGGCCAGTCAGCTTCCCTATCTCTGCGCATGCATCAAAGAAGCTCTTCGTATCTGGCCTGGCGCACAGCTTTGTAAGTAATAACCGATGCCGATATTAGGTGAGAAATATCAATCTGATCTTCGAAATAGCTCTGCCTCGAACTGTACCCCCGGAGGGCCTGACTATCTGCGATCAATTCATCCCTGGAGGCTACGTTGTTGGTATCAACGCCGCCGTGATGCATTTCGACAAGAAAGTCTTTGGACAAGACGCCCACAGCTTCAACCCTGGCCGGTGGATGGATATGGCTCGTGCTAATTACATGGACAAGTACATGATGGCTTTCGGTGGTGGCACTCGAACATGTTTGGGCAAGAACATTGCCCTCATTGAGTTGCATAAGCTGTCTCCTCAACTTATCCGCAACTATCGGTTTGAGTTCTACGACCAGAACAAGACCCAATGGCATACTAGAAACACCTTCTTTGCTCGACAAGAAGGCGTTGTGGTGCGCGTCAAGCATCGAAAGCACTGAATGGCATGTATGTATGTATGTATGTATGTATGTATGTATGTATGTATATTTTGCGTCCGGGGGGCCATTGGCCCCGAAAAGTCTCCTACTGGAGCACAGGACGTGCTGAGCTAAACTATCTACAATCGCTGCCGTGCTGATTCTCGCCTCGGATCATCTGCAAGGCCTCTTGCATCGGAGCCGTATACATGCTCGAGCGTTTTCTGTACTCATTACCTCCAAGAGGCACCTCTCTACACGTAGCCAGCTCTACAGTAGTTGTCGGTGAAGCACGTCCCATGGACATCAATACAGTTGATCTCAGCAGAGCTTCCCTCCAGCAACGCTTCTATCTAGTTCATCCAGCATATCATCGGCACAAAGGCGCACTACTTTCAAGAGGTGGTCCCGTCAGCGGGAACTATTCCTCTCCAGCCTAGAATTCTCTTGCACAGATAGATCAAGTAGCTTTCCATACCCTGAGGCAGGAAGTCCATGATCCCTTAAGATCGCCAGTAGCTGCAACCCTAGAACCGTGCATCCTTGGGGAAAACCCTTGCAGGGGAAAAACCCAAGGCGGCTAGAACGCTACTCTATAGACGAGGCAACCGCCCCGTTCCATGGTCTCTAGGTAAGCTCTGTACCGTTTCAACCCAGCGGTTTTTGTCACGTGGTCTCAGCCAGTGAGACAGATTGTCAAAGCCTGGTGGTGTTCCAGGCAGCAGCCGAGGCCGCAAAGAAGAAGAAGGTCTCTGGGCAGTACGCGACTGCAGAGATCGGTCAAGCAGCTTCCGAGCTGCAAAAAGGGCAACGAACCATGTGGGGTCCGTGCGTCAAGGTCGAGGGCACCAGAGGGCCCAGAAAGTCGAGCAGCCGAAGGCTGTTTGTGTTGTTCGGGCAGCTAAAGCTGCTGTAGTCGGTCGGGGCAGCGTTAAACTGCAGGCGAAGGTGAGAAGAAGTCGTAGATAAAACAAATGAAATGGTGCCCAGAGGCGATGTCAAGAGCTCGCGAAGCTCAGTGCCGTTGAAAACACTTGTCACGAAGAAAGGTCAACTCTCTGAATCCCTTTCTTCAGGCAGCTGTTAGGGTCCCGCTAGTCCCGCGGCTGCTTTTGTTGCTATTTTGGCCTGTAAAAATTTCTTGCCCTAGTAGAACGCTAACAGCGGGTGCCAAGGAAAAATTTTTACAGGAGAGAGTTAAGCACTGAATGGCTCGGGACTTAGAAGCGGGTTCAGGTTATGTAGCTCAGCATATAGTATATTTATATAGGCCTGGTATTAAAATCTTAGAAGGGAAGCCAAGTTACTTTCTATGATGGCTTGTGACGATACGCGTTGTGATTCCAGCAATCGTTTACCCCTTACCTCAAACGGTCCCCAGAGGTACCTGCAGGGCAAATTTCCCGATACCTAGGCCAATCATCAACCTTGACTTCAGCATGATGAACTCTGACAAGGGAAATTGAATTCCTAACTTATAAAAGGTGGCGTACTTTGTAGTAACTTGTCAATAGTGAATGTAAAAAACAACATCGTCCCAGATGATGTTCCAATAACAACCGTTGACCCAGACATCTCGATACCACGCCCGTCCGGCCGTAATGCTGGTGGTAATCCATGAGCTGATTGAAGATATCGCCAAAAGAAAAGGCTGCTGACTGAGCTACTGACTGATTTATTGATCTGATAAACCATATAAAATATCCCTGTTTTAGTTTGGGAGCAGGGAATCGCTTTTTGTTCACAAAACCATGATTGCTGAACCTTGGTTGAAATGAGGGAAAAGACATTTAAAATAGACAACGAAATAAAAAGAATTGAAGTAAGGACATCGTAAATTCTCTTTAGGAAACTCAGATATCGAATAGCAAGAATTGCTAGACAATTTTCGTTGCATCGTAATATCGGCTTCTACTTATACCTGTAGATAACAATATGGCTGGTCGAGATCAGTCCTTGGGCATCGCAGTCCAGTTTCCGTTCAATGACAAGAGTGTCTGGCGCGTGAACCTAAACAAAAAAGCATGAAAATATTTGTGAAGACGGCTTTCTTGTCATTTATGACGTGCGTGTTCGTTTCCTTCCATTGATGGTGAAAGACGTCCTCAACTGGTTCATCCAAAGCAGACTCTCCCACTGGGTAACATCATCCAAACAAATCGACAGCCTTGCGACGCATGATATTGCCCAACACAACTGATAAAACGCGAGCACAGGGCCCTGATTGTTGGCTGGATCCAGATATTGGAACTTCTCCTGAGAATCTTCGCTAGTGATGGGTCGACAGAGACCACCGAAGTGTCAGATATTAAGGTGAATTGTGTGTATTGCTTGATTCTGTCGCAATCGAAGGACTATTGAGACCTTATATCTTCGACTGGTTCCTTCTAGGACTTGAGTCCTAGAAAGTCCTAGATGAAAGTCCTACGATTTAAGTTTAGGACTTCAAACTTTAATCCTGAACCTTAATCCTGAAGTTGAGGGTGAACCCTCCAACATTCAACACACCCCCTCAGGCTCAATAGGTCCCAGTTGAGCCTGCATTTCCTAGGCAGTCTTCTATCTTCTGGAGCCTCGCTTCTATTCCTTCTTGCTTCCGGCTATACTGCTGTTTTTTTTTTTTCCGAATATCTTCCAGGCCAAGTTGATAGAGGAAGCGGTTCCATTTGCCTGCCGGCAGGGCCTTTGTTAATCCGTCTGCGATCATATCCGTCGATTTGGTGTATTTGACTTGAATTCTCCCTCCTTGGACCTCCTGTCTCAGCCAGTGGTTGTGAATATCCACGTGCCGCAACTTAGTCTTCAAAGTAGCGATTTCGGCGGTCACAAGGTTGATAGTTTGAGTGTTGTCGCAGTCGATACGGATAGTCGGATCATCCATCTGAACTGTAAGCTCTTTCAACAGCCGACTCACATAGAGGGATTCCTTAGCAGCCTGTGCCAGGGCTAGGAGCTCTGCCTCTGTTGTGGATGTGGTGACTGTATTCTGCTTGCTAGCTCTCCAGCCGATCAACCCGTCGAATAGTCGGATAGTGTACGCTTGGGAGCTTTTCCGATCAAGGGTGTTATCGGCAAAAGAAGCGTCACTAGCAACTGTAAGACCTCCGGGTCCTCCGAATCGTAGGGCTCGGTGCCTTGTGTGTGAGAGGTAGTGGATAACGCGGTCGGCGGCGTCTTGGTGTTCTTGGCCAGGGTTGACAAGAAATCGGGCCAGCCTGGAGGCGGCGAAGGCTATGTCAGGCCGGGTGTTAACGGCGATATAGAGGATCGAGCCGACTTTGCGTTGATATCGTTGAATTTCTGCCGGGGCTGCTAGCCCTGTTTGAGGTCGTAGCTCTGTTTGAGTCATTGGTACTGTAGATGTTCCCTTGTTAGCTAGATTTGCGATTTTGTCAATGTAGGCTGTTTGAGACAGCCAAATCTTCCTTGCAGGTCGGTCCCGTATGACTTCCATTCCTAGGAACCATTGCACGGGGTATCCGCCTGTTAGCTTGTATTTTGATCCAAGCTGTCTAGTCAATTCATCGGCCTTGTCTTTCCGGGCCTTCCTGTAAGCGATGATAACATCGTCAACGTAAAAGAAGAAGAGGACTCCTTCCTTCTTGAAACAACAAGGTTCGTGAGGAATCTGTGTGTAGCCTATCTCTAGGAGGGTCTTCGAGAGTTCTTTCTGCCATAGCAAGGGAGAGGCTCGTAGTCCGTACAGGGCCTTGTTGAGCTTCAGGATAGTTGCTGTTTTCTTATACCCCGGGGCCATGTGCATGAAAATATCCTGGTCAATTGGGGCGTTTACGAAGGCGTTGACCACATCGTATTGGACCATCTCTAGGTCAAATCTGGCCGCAATGGCAATCAGGGTCCGGAAAGACCTTCCGGCTAGGGTAGCTGCATATGTCTCTTGCAACCTTCCCTTAGCTTGTTGGTCTCCTCTGACCACTAGCCGTGCCTTGCATTTCTGAAATCGGCCGTGTTTATCGAACTTGTAAACGTACACCCACATACAGCCAAGGACTTGTTGGTCAACGGCTCGAGCGTCTTTCTTTCGAATCTCAGTCCAGGACCTCATTTCCTTGTGACTCTGAAGGTGGCTTTCTTCAGCCTCTTGAAAGAGCATTCCAAAAGGGTGATGCTTTAGGTCTTGATGTTTCGTCGGGGGCGGCGGTAGGGAGTTTCGATGCATTTTCACCCCTTGTCGGAGCTTCCTTTCGATTGAGGTCTGGAGAGGGGACTTTGTTCCGGCTAGGAAGGCCGCCTGCCATGAGACCGTTTTGTTTCCTTCGTCTGATAAGGCCCTGGAACTGTGCGCTAGTAGAGCTGACAGTGGTGTGACTGGAGGTGTTGGAAGGATATCAGAGTCTTCTGACTGTTTGAGGCTGTTTTCTAGGGCAGTTGCCACGATGCAGTCTTCTGTTTCGTCTGTAATAGGGCTGCTTTCATCTGCTAGGGTGGTTGTTGGAAGGGCCACTTCAATACAGTCTTCAACCTGTTCGGCTTGTTCGTTGTCGTCTTGTTCCGGCAGGGAGGATCCTTGTACGAACTCGGCAATTTCTTCTAGGTCAGCTTCGAGTAGTTCATCTTTGAAGCTTTCCCAGTCTCCGTTGCAGCCTTCGTCTTCATTAAATATGACGTCTCGAGTGTTGACTATCCGGTTGATCGTGGGGATCCAGATCCTATAGATGTTCGAGGACCTATATCCCACTAGGAAGCCGATCCAACCTTTGGGCTTAAGCCGCATCTTGCGATTGACCTTCTGCTGGGCATCTGAGGTCATTGCATAGGCCTTGCAGCCAAATGCCCGTAGGTGTGTTTGATCCGGCTGTTTCTTCGGCTGTGGAATCCCTGCTGCTTTGGCTGATGCTGTATGCAGTTGATCATATGGCGTTTTCCAGCCTGATGCGTAGTTCGGCGTTCGGTTGTACAGATAAACTGCTGTCCTTCCAATTTCTGGCCACAGCTGGTGAGGAAGCTTTGCGCCTGTTCGCATAGCCCTTTCCTTGTCCTTGACTACACCCCCTGAGCGCTCGGCACCCCCATTCTGGGCTTGTGTGTATGGGGCCGAGGGCTCGATGATGATAGCTCTATTCCTCAGGAAGTCTCCGATTTTCGGCTTGATCTCCGTGATCTCGTTATCACATTCGATGACTTTGACCTTGAGGCCGTGTTGGACTTCCAGACGACTTAGGAAGGATTTGAAAGCGGTGATAATAGCTTCTGTCGTCCGGGCTGTGAGGTAGTAATCCCAGATGTAACCCGTAGCTCGGCAGGTTAACAACATCTGTGAGGTATAGCCGCCTATGCCTTCTTGGTAGTCATGGAAGTCAATGGCGATACGCTCACCGGCCTTCTGATCGGATTGTCTTGGGGCTCGTCTGATTTGTCTCTTGATCTTCGATATGCCACAGGCGTCGCATTCAACAGTGGTTGGTCCTCGTATTCGCACCCCCTGAGAGGCCGAGATAAGGTGTTCCAGAGCTTGTGGTCCCGGGTGCCCTAGGCGACTGTGCCAGCGGATAGCTTCTCCCGTCAAAGGGGCCTTCTTTGTGTAAGAGCTGAATCTGTGGGCCGCAAAGGCTGCTTTTGGGAAGCTTTCTGGCTGGTATTCGATGACATACTGGCCGTATAGGTCATGGATTGTGCATGCAATCGTTCGGTCAAGTCGTCGGAGGGTCGTTGGGTTACACCTATTATCCCAATAGAAGCCTTTCTTTCGTAGTTGACGTAGGGAGACTAGGGTCGTAAGGAGCCGAGGGCAATAAGCTACATCTTCAAGCATTAGGACTCGAGTTCCTGTGAGCCTGATGGTCATGGTTCCGTAGCCTAAGATGGGTAGTTTTCGGTCTCCAGCCCAGATGAAGTCGCCTGGAATAGCCGGCTGGAATCTCGCTAGTCTGTTGGCACTGTTTGTGATTGAGATAGTAGCTCCGGGGTCGAGGATCACGGAGTTCCGTAAGGGATAGTTATCCCTTTGGGCTGCAAAGGCGGCCTTGATTTCGGCGATTGGTCGGCCGTACAGTCATTGGTCTGAGTTTTCTTCCTTTGTTGGCTGCATCAAGTTTCTGTCTTTTGAGGTCCTGGCCTTCTTCCGTGTGAGGGCTTTTACCTGGGCCTCCAGGTCTGAGTCTTCCTCGAGAGCTTCTTTCACCTTCTTTTGGATCCTCTCTCGGGGCTTGAATCCCTTCCATGCCTGATTTGGAAAGACATAGAAGCATTTCGCAAGTTCGTGGGATAACCCACACGCCGGGCATTCCTGTCTCTTCTCAGGAGACCTCTGGCGTTTTCTTTCTCCCTTCTTCGAAGATGGGTACTGACCTTCAATGATGTGGGCGTCCCCTTCATCATCCTGGGGATCCTCCCCAGCATAGCTCGCAGAAAACGCACCGCGGGCCACTCGGCCCTTCGTGGCTTCTGCATCTTGGAGCTCATTTCGGAAGGCGTTCCCTACATCTCGGTATGAGAGGGCCCTGTTTTGCAATAGGGTCTTTGAAGAGATTTTGTATGAGGCAGTCCAGCTGGGCAAGATGTGTGTGGTGACACTGAAGAAGTCCCAGGCCCACGCACTGTTGTGGAGCGTTTCAGGGACCTCTCGTTGTCGCCCTTTCGCCATTGCCTCTTCCCATTGATCTAGCCACTTGAATGCTGCTTGGCTAACTGTCTTTGGGGCAGTTCTTAGTAAGGTAAGATACCTATTTCTGGCATCCTTAGTTTCATCTGCCTCGGTCCTTCCACACCTGGCACGAAGGTTCCTGTGCCATTCGTATATTGATTCATGTGACTGACAGCAGGTTTGAATCAGGCTAGGAGAGACCGTACGGATAACCCAGTCTTGAAGGGTTCCAAGAGCGGTTTTCTGTTTTTCGAAAACCTTCTCTTGTAGCTGATAAAAGGTTAAATCCTGCTGGAAGATTTTCTGGCCCTGGTCTGTTAGGTCAGAGATAGACCATGTTCCATTTGCCGTTTCCTGAATGTCGTCTGGGGCGCCGTCTTGAGATTCAGCAGTATGAGACCGGATTGTTCGTTGGGCTGTAGCGGTCTTCGTATATCTGCGTTTTCTTATATCCGGGATAGCTGGTTCGTCTCCGAGGAATGTCTTGCTTTTGAGGTGCTGCTGAAGACCAAGACGATGGGCCTGAAGGAGGAATTCATGCTCCCAGTTGAGGAAGTCCTCAGGCTTAGAGAGGGTAGCCGTAAGACCTTCCTTTTGGGGCTTGGATAGGGACATTATGTATGAGAAAGAGGGTTCTTCAAGGTATTAAAAAAAAATGGTTGAGGCAATGAGACTCTTAATTGTCAGATATTAAGGTGAATCGTGTATATTTCTTGATTCTGTCGCAATCGAAGGACTATTGAGACCTTATATCTTCGACTGGTTCCTTCTAGGACTTGAGTCCTAGAAAGTCCTAGATGAAAGTCCTACGATCTAAGTTTAGGGCTTCAAACTTTAATCCTGAACCTTAATCCTGAAGTTGAGGGTGAACCCTCCAACATTCAACAGGTTGCCGAGAAAGAGTGGTGTTGACAGGAAAATCTTGGAGCGGGGAAGGATGGCTGGTGGTCAAGTTCTGGTGTGCCTACTAATTTGGTTACGGTTAGAACTTGCACGCCAAGCAGCTAGCGGTATCCACAGGGCGTGGCCAATTTATTCAATTAATACGGTATTCTATTTGCGTTAGAAACGGATGCCCCTCGCAGCCGATAGGGTGGACTATGCGCTTAAAGCCTCAGGGGCCACCTATTCTCCGCCATCTTTGATTACAAACCTAACTTGAAGGATAACCTTTCGCTGATAAATCAAAATGTGTTTGTGAGGCACCTTCGTTAGTAAGGACGTCCGCCATGGCTTAACAAATACTAGAGGTAGAAGAGGTAAAAGGGGGCCACAAGTCAGGCAGTCTTTCAAAAACAGACTCTTCAGTTTGGTTTCACGAATCCATCAAGTCTTCCACAATGTCCTCCTCAAATCTCATCGTTATCGTCGGAGCCACTGGCAATCAAGGCGGTTCTGTGGCAAGTGTCTTCCTCGGGGAGCCAGGTTGGACAGTTCGCGCCCTAACTCGAAACACCTCTAGTGTTAAGTACCAGGCTCTGGCAGCTCGAGGCGCAGAGGTTGTTCAAGCCGACATCGACACACCTGCCACCCTATCGGCAGCGTTTGAGGGTGCGGACGCCATCTTCGCTGTGAGTGACTTCTGGGGCTTATACAGTGATCCTACCAATAAAGACAAGGCGAAGCCGGGCCAGCCTCTGAATGTGTGGGCGGGTGAGCATGAAACACAACAGTTGAAGAACATTATCGACGCAGCCGACAAAGTCCCAAATTTGGAGCGATTTATACTCTCCTCTCTGTCGAACGCCACGAAATGGTCAAAGGGGAAATACACTCACGTGTACCACTTTGACTCGAAAGCCAAGGCGGCAGACTACGGCAGAGAAACATACCCAGACCTCTGGGCAAAGACCAGCATCTATCAGCCCGGACTTTTCTTAAGTAATTATACCCTGAACGGGTTACGTCAACTTATCAAGGTAAGCATTTCTGAGCATAATATTTATGCTTAGCGAATAAGCTAACTTCCTTAAGAACTCTGATGGAATTGTCCAATTTATCGGCATGTGGACCAAAACGTCAAACTCCCAATTGTTGCCGCTGAGGAAGATTCTGGGCCCTTGGTCAAAGCTCTCATAAAAGACTCCGCTGGGAAGAATCTCATTGGCTATCGAGAATGGCTCACTACCCGAGAGCTGGCATCGATATTTACAAAGGCTACGGGACTGAAGGCAGAGGTAGTCACTCTGCCGAACGGGCATTTTCCTCCATCAGTTCCGACCTAATTGAAGGTGGAGCTTGAAGATAACATGGCATATTGGAATGAGTTCGGGTACGAGGGCAGAGATGACCCTACAGTTATTCATCCCCGAGATGTAAGTGACCTGGCTTGATAATATCGCGAGTGGCTGCTCATATATGTGTTTAGTTGAAGTCGCCCCCGTCTCTCGATACTGTGGAGGACTACTCCAAGAAGTACGACTGGAAAAAGGTGTTTGGTTCTTAAGAAACGCCTATAAGCGCCAAATAACTAGACTTACGGGTAGTTGACAAGAGATTTTTCCCCAAAGTATCTTCGAAACAATGGGAGGTGAATTTTTGGGGAGCTGGTGACCTATCAACAATTGAACAATGTCTCTGCCTCGCTAAGTCGTGCCGAGCAGATCTGGCGATGCCGTGCTTCTGTAGAGTGGGATAGCTACGTTGTTCTCGTTAACCATCCCTACTCTCGTTAACAAAAAAGCGGGCGATTATGACTAAATATATATGATAGGTAGAATGGATAGGTGGAGATGAAGCCGATATTATATGTAAAGATCGTGAATTTAGTAAATGATATTAAATGCTGTTATTTAGGTCTGGAGTAGCCAAGTCATCAAATCCTACAGGAGGCAGACGACGGAAACGCGACTCGTTTCGCGTTTTAGGTTTTCTGATTCATTAGCGCAGTACGAGAAACGCAGCGCGTTTCCATCCGGGGAAATATGGGGCGAAAATGCTAAACGGTGATTGGACAAAAACTGGAAACGCAATGCGTTTCTGGTGATAATTGTTGAGTAGGGAAGTGGAGGTGGTGCAACAGTGAAAGGAACGAGTGCACGGACAAAAACAACCTGTTGTTTTTGTGGAACCTGGTTACTGTATCAATGTGCACGGACAAAGAGTGTAGAATCTAGAGGTGATTTTTCGGAAAAATGCCGGGAGATTGCAAGGGTGGCACGGACGGAAATTGAATAATGCAGCACGATTTGGATGAACATTAGTACAGTAGTAGGTTTACTGAGTTCCTTTGGTTCGCTTATCAAGATGATGATTCGTGTTTTGTAAGAAATGGGGTTTCGGCTGCATATCCGCTGAATTGTTGGTCCCCTTACTTAGCGGTCTAGCAACGTGTTTAGAGTATAACACCTTTAAAACACTTTCATACCATCTCTCATGGCATATTTTTCTTTCCTAGTAATATTGACGTGTTCCTCATAAAATTGAAGCATCTGAGTCGTGTTAGCACGAAAACTGACAAGCTAATGGTGTGACCAAGGGGTGGACGACCTTCTGCGGACACTTCTTGTAGATGATCTCCGTGTCGTGTTTGGTTTTTTGGCCGTTCTTCCAAGTAAGGTAAACGATCAGATATCCATCCTTGTCCTCCTCACAAGTATCAATCGTTTCGATCTCATCTTCCCACGACCCCGAAGGAGGACTCCATTTCTTCGCTGTGGCCAGCAACGTCTCATCGGTAGCATGCGCCTTGTTTCGTCGCAGTCGCTTGGGCCTTGTACCGTAAGTGCCATTTGTCATCGGTATACGCCTTTTGGTCTTGGCCGCTCTGTCTGATTCCTCGAAGATCTTGTGCCTCCCACCTATCGTGTCAAAATACTCATTGAGAATCTCGTCGCCCGATACCCTAAAACAGAGCGCTGGTAAGAAGATTCAAGGATAAAACGGAGATGCCTAGTACGTACTTGAGATTCTCCTCAGGTTCCCAAGTTAAGTCTTTCTTATTCTCAAAGCCCTTCCACTTAACCTGAAACAGAAGGTTGCCCTGAAAAGATGTCAGCCATAAACGCAGCTACCGTAAGCTTTACAGAGCACGGTCACATTTTTGTCAATCACGTGCTTCTTGATCGTCTCTACAATAAAACTGAGATTCGTAAGTATCAAATGAAGGTCGTGGCAGACAAACAGCTTACAGGCCATCCTCAAGTTCGCTGTCAGATTCCTCTTCATCACTCTTGCCTGTGGTAGCGCTTTTGGAAGCTTCGACTTTGTCGCGGTTAACAACCAACAGTGGGCTGTCTGAGGTTGATTTTAGGCTCCTATGAGTGTGAGCCGTAAGTTTGCTCTGATTCGAAGGTTTGTCGTCGCTGGATGCTGTAGAATATTAGCTCATCCCTTGTCTGGCATGCGGCAGGAGCTGGTCTTGCGTTGGCCGGGATAGGATTTGGAGCGCAAACGCGACGCGCTCTCTATCTTGTCCTGTGGCAAAACATTTGGGAGAGATCAATGAGAATGATTCTAAGGAGACAGAATCTTACCTGAAGGCATCCTGAAAATGTATGGATTGCGCGACTTTGAAATATTGCGGTGCCTCCCAAGGTGGAGCTCCCAGTACGTATTGGGTTTGTGCTTTAGAGGTTTGATTTGATTGCGTCCCACGCGGTTGTATTCCAACGAACAGCCGAAGCCCCGCGGATCAGTATTGATCCGTTGTGCCCCACTTCACTAACATCAAAGACGATGGCCAGCTGTTAGATTGGCGGCTGGGAAGGGCTCCACTTTCCTTTATCACGATATTATTCTTGTATCCAGAAAAGGAAGAGAATTAAACGGATATCTCTATCAGATCAGAGCAGCACCAACCGATGAATGTCCATGCGGGCAGGCAAAAGAAACGGTAGAGCACTTTCTCATCCGATGCGTAAAATGGACAATACAACGCAAGGAGATGATGTCACAATGTGTAGAAGAAAAACGTGGCAACCTCTCTTTTCACTTGGGAAATAAGGCTGCATCAGATGGGCAAATATGGACACCGAACATGGATGTGGTGCGAACCTCGATCAAATTCGCGATCGTTACAGGTCGCCTCGAACAGAGATGACAACAACACCAATAAGCCACCGGTTACGAAAACTCACTTACTAACAATAGCTACCCCCCGTATAACCAAAAGCAGGCACTGCTTTAGCCGCCGAAGATAGGAAACTGAGCACTTGGAGGAATTGGGCTTCAAGTTGATCTGCTACCACTAACCGATACGGGGATCTGGAAGTAGAGCAATGAAGAGACAGAGAAGAACAAGGCGGGAAACATAGGGGCTTTGCGAGATGAAGCCATCAGTTGGCGAAATGTATGTATTTTTATTTTTTAGAGCCCTATGGGCGGTGGCCTACCGGGCGTAATAGATCTGTCTGTCTGTCTGGTCACTAGGGTAGTCTGGTGAAGCCACCCGTGTCATCATCTCGAATTGACTTGCCAGATTTCTCGGTGGACGGAGAAGAGCAAAGGCGGAGGGTGGGGAAAGAAGCATAATATCGTTGGATTCTATCGGGTTAGGCGTCGCTCAGTAAGGAATGGCACACGTCGAGGAGAGATCAACAGACTGGCACCGACGCGGTTTGAGGTTGTGGGGGCGAGGGACGTGAAAGTTAAGAAGCTACTTGCTCTTTAGCCGGTTTGAAGGCCCTGCTGGGGGTAGCACACTAATGAAAGATCTGAGTAATGGCTCTGATTGGCCAGATCCACTCGCCAGACCCTGACATCCACCAGGTTCCGGGTAAGGCGCAAAGACGCGCTCGACAGAACAGCAGATTCGACTTTTGATCATATATTGTGTATCAAATATATCAAATGTAATTCCAGGGTTTTGGAATTATTTGATTTGAAATAAGATTTTGGCATATTTGATTGATTCGTTTGGCAGTTTGTTTGATTGCATTTAATCTGTGGGCAGCGCTGCAGGCGGGTCATCATAAAATCGACGCATCATAGCGTAGTATTTGAAAGATCTAAAATGTAGAATGTTTTAAACTAGTTTATATTAAGTAGGTAATACTTTAATAAAAGATTATCTATCTTTGTTATAGCTTAGGCTTAAAGTCTTTAAGAAGTCATATTATTATGTCTTCCTGAGGGTTCGGCACGGGGTAGTGATGTGGCTAGAGTGACAGCCATCTGGCAAAGCCCTAGCCAGTCCAGTAGCCAGCGGCCTCCCTCGTGATCGCCGCCTATGACGTGATGGCTTGAACTATTAACCATCCGATACGTGAGGCTGTCTGCTAGGCGTCAACAGCATAAAAGTGTGGCATCATGCAAGCGAGTATTTAGTGCTTACATCACGTCGCAGCCGCCTTGTCATAGACTTTTTGTGTCCATTCAATCAGCCTTAGAACGAGTAAGGCGCCTTCCATTATCGCTCGGGCAAGGTGGGTCACTTTATCCTATGCTGATGCATCCTATCTGGGGCTCGGCCTGAGGGCAGCAAATCCTAGAAGGTCGCTCGCTAATCCATTTCCTAATCGACTAAGCCTTGACAGGTTTACAATCTAAATCTGCCCTGCCTCGTACTCAGTCAGATCTTCAGCGCGCACGCGCCTAAACCTTAATCTACCCGATTCTCCAAGCGCTTATTGCTCTGCGACTGTCTGGGCGTATGTGACGGCTGTATTTCCCAAAGTCACAAACCCAATCGCAATTGCCTTGTGTCAATAGAGAATCGGTTCCTGGCAGGCATGATGTGTGTTTGGCCCATTGATGCAGATTCGTGTATTCATCTTGTGTCGAGTAAAATATGCCCCCAGAAGGTTCAACTATTTGGGCACGAATTCTTGAAGAATCACTGCTTGTATGTGATACCCCCAGCACCTGTTTAACTGGTTCAAGTCAACCCGCACGCTTTAGCGCCTCTCGCCATTGACGATCATTGACACTAGACTAAGCGGGCTTGGCGGTTTTTGGAATGCATCTCATCAGGCCCTTATCTCGTTGATGATAAGACTACATAATCAGAGTTTGTTAACTGCACGCATCCTATTTCTGTCAGTTTCATCTCAAATCGGTTATCGATAATAGTATTAGTCGGAGGGTCGCGAATGCCATTATCAAAGTCAAATGTCGCCCAGAAAGCATGCTTAGAATCCGTGCCGTCAAAGCTCGACCACACAATAAGATAAGGTGAAGGTCATTTCAAACGGTGCGTCAAAGTGATATAAAACATATTAATCAGTATGAATAACATTTTTCGCCCGCTGAGGTCTTTCGCACCGTATTGTTTCGCCGCATCGATCGAATAGACGATCAGTTACTTCCACGATCGACGCTAACCGCTGTTCATCTGCGGCTGAGCTGAAAAGTGACATCGGGTTCGCCCGCTTGATAACGACAGGGATGTAGGCGATCCGGATAATCTGAAGGCTTGAGTAAGGGCGATGGGAGCGATAGAGCGAACGGTATGTGTCGATGGCAGAGAAGTTCCCCTCGAGGCGGCATCCTTGTCGGAGCTTTGCACAGGATCCACATCGTCGACATGGATAGATGTGGAAGTCTGTGACCTCTTAGGCTTGATATAGAGCCTCCAGACTAGGATATGTAGCGATGGAAATGATTACACCAATGATGCCGCCAATGGTTAATCCGCCGCCGCCTTTGTCAGATTCAACCTCTACAACCTCCATGCAGGCGTCAGGTCGTTCCGGGAAGGATGTCCGTTTCAGCATCACCAGAAAATTTCGCTCAGACTGAGCTGGCAATATGTTTTACTGCCAGAAATCTCGAGTCATGAAGACCTGCAGAACCACGCATCTCCGGTTTCGGCTTGATGCGGAACTCCCCACGCTCTGAGTAATGAAGTGGCCGCGAGCTGGACAATCCGTTATCATGTAACGCATCCAGGCCTGAGGTCTCTGGAGCCGGAGCGGCCGCTAACTGGGCGTTAAGGTAGTCGTGGTGGTGGCGGTGACATACGCTCAAGCTTTGGCTGGTTATCGGATGTATTTTTCCGCCCGAAAACCTAGACACAGTCCTCCAATAAAGAGGAGCCGGAGCCATCCCGAGCATGTGGCGAGAGAAGAGGTATTCATCTTATAAGACGGGAAAGGCCTAAGGTGCGACAGGATTAGATTACAAACTGTTCCTCATACCGAAGACACATTTATAATGCAATCATTACCTGAAGTTATCTCTACTTCAAATTCAGACGCAAGGGGATTAAATGATTTTACAGCCTATCTTTCAAAAAATCATTGCCTAGAAACCCTTCAATTCATCCAAGACGCCTCGAGATACCGAGCTTATTACGCAGAGATAGTCGAGGATAAAGAAATCCCTTGGGCATATTTAAGACGCCATTACGATTACCTACAGGAACTATGGGAAGATCTTCTCGGCACTTATATCCTCCATAGCGGACATCGCGAGGTCAACCTTCCCTCTGAAGTTAGGGCTCGACTTCTTGGATTACGTTCTTCTGCACTTCCTCCACATCCATCGGGATTGGATGAAGCCGTCAAGATCATCCTTGAACTCATGGAGGACTCGATCCTACCTGGGTTCCTGAGGTCTTATGTGTCGCTGGATCAACCGGGAGATAGAGGGGGTGGTGGCTGGAAGGGGATTTTCGGCAGACTTCAGCGGAAAATCCCAACACCCACGTCAGAACGGGGCTACGAGGAGGACTCTGGGTCGCGGGCTTCCGGTTCGAGAGAAGACGGTGAGGTCACTCTTTGTACACGCCGCCGCTTCCTAGGAGGCGCCCCCGCATCACCTTACAGCCATCTACTGCGGCCATGATCAAGCGCGTCTGAAGACAGTATTCATGCAAAAGCTATAGTGAGTGGGATTTTCCTTTATTAGGAAAGTTCAAGGTTACAAATATAGAGGCAGGTTTCTCCCTCAACGTTTGGAAATGCTGCGAAGAGGCCATTTTAAGATATATTCTCATAGTGCTCGAGTGGAGAAATTGAAATATGACGCCACATGCGGGGTAGATTATTCCGCTATTCCATACCAGCTACTGGCGGCTTATAAATTTCAGTGGCAGCTTTCCAGCACAGAAATAGCCTTCAGCGGTAGTCAAACTATATCTCATATAGATTCCAGTAAGTTTCACGCATCTATTGAGAATGATCATTAGATGATAAAATGAGCGCATTAAATTACTTGCGTGAATGAATATTACTAACCTGCAAAACTTGCAGCGCTCTTAATATATCGGATGTATTGGCCGGAGTTACGTAACGGAAACCTTCACGCCAACAGGAAAAAATATTTAGCTCCTTCTTCGTCATTACCCCAATATACCCTAGGTTCTCAGGCACCGGTACATAGCAGCGCAAATACTGGAGGCCATTTGGCCTGTCGAAATTGCGCTGTGATGCAGGTTTTACTTTTGAGAATACTATGATTTCAAATGGTTATGAATCCTGGGTAATCTACCGGAATGAATGGCCTGCTGGGCCTCATTATCTGCCGCTGCCGCCTCCCAAATATCATGCATACCTCTTCTGCTGGAAAAAGGATTGCGTTCCATCTCCACAGCTACCTGAGCCTCGACACGGTCATCTTCTGCTTTGCTCCAATCTAAATAGGCCATCATCTCCTCTTTAGTCCAATCTCTGGAGCCGTTTGGAGTATCGCAGCGCTTACCCATCTGCTTCCAATCGAGACACCACTGATAGCTGGATTTGTCGTACCGCAGAGGTAGACCTAGCGCCCTCCGATACTGCTGGTTGGTTTTAATACTGCCACGAGGCTGCACCTTGTACCAAGCATCTCGAGCAGCAACATATCTCTGATAGATAGCCCCAGGATCGTTATACCTTGATGTCGGCACTATCTTTGTCTGTGCCAACGGTGCTGCTAATGATGCTGCCGGCACTATGTTATCCGTGCTGTCGAGACTGACAATAATGCAACTGGCACTATCTCTCACTGACTCTGCCTGATCTGTTGATCCCGAAGACGTTGGTCTTGGAGCTTCTCCCGCGTGCAAGGATAATGCTGATGAAGATGTCGTCGGCAATGGTCGTGCCTGCGCCGTCGGTGCTAGTGGCTTCAAAAGCTCCTCGTATCGTTGACGGCATGTCTTTGAAGTCATTGTATGACCTATCTGGTGGCATCTGCTGCATTTAGGTTGTGCCTTTGGCCGTGTTGTTGCCTGAACTGCCTCGAATGCACTTGGCCTTCTCTGGGTACTTGATTGTGGTCTCCTAGTACTCGAACCGGCGGCTATCTGATCGGGTCGATGCCAGGCTGGCGAATCTATCTACCGATGTAGATGAAATGTAGATGTAGATAGATGTAGATCTACATCTATCTATCTACCAGAGGACATGTGGGTCTTCTATCTATCTACCTGGAGGTCCGGTAGATAGACGAAATGTAGATGCCAAGACCGCGGTGAAAATTGGGTGAGGTAGTTGTACTTTCTCGGTACTAGTGGCATCCTCGTGCTCCGAAGTATCGGTACCTCTGACAATCCCTTCCCTAACCGTCCCTCATTTCCCGATTTCCCCTCGCCATCCCCCTTTTTCGATTGGGTCTTGGTTTGACATATTCTCATTGCCCTTGATGCCACCCAAAACCATTGCCCAAATGGTACCTCAAAGCGATTTATTCAGTTACGCAACCGATACTACCATATCGGAAATATCCTGTCCCGAAGACCCAACCTTGCCTATGCACAATTCCTCGTCTCGCAGCAGCCATTCAATCATCAAAGACTAGGATGCAGTGTCGCAAGCTGTCCGCAGCCATTGTGTCCTCTCAGCTCGAACTGGTCAAGCTACCGGCTGGTTTTGGGCTCACGGCTATGACGTTCAAGCTAGGTCCAAAGGCAATGAGTCTGGCCCCCATACATGGCTCTGTTGCCACTGTGTCCAGCATGGCGTTCCCCGGCCAAAGGCTTATGTCTCGTCCAACACTCGGAACATTGAAGGTCATCTCAGCAAGGCCCACAATATTTTTCATCCAGATCCATCAAAAGCAACACGATATATGCAGGAGCGGCCCCCGAATCAACTGACCCTTCATGATTTGGCAACCAAGAAACGGAAGAGGGACGACTTTCACGACGAGTTGGTTACTCGATTTGACAAGACCACGTTCCAGCGCCACGTTGTCCAGTGGATCACCGATGCAAATCTGTCATTTCGCGTACCGGAGCATAAAGGCCTCCAAAAGGCCTTTTAGTACCTGAACCCCTTGGTTCACGAGACTTCCGCCAATCTGACCCATGAAACGGTTCGGGCTAGGATCATCGACGAGTTCAACACATACAAATCGCGCGTCATCCACACGCTATCACGAAGCCCAAGCCAGGTTCATATTGCATTTGATGGCTGGGCGTCCCGGAACAGACATTCGTTCTTCTCCATAAATGCCTTCTTTCTCGATGAAGATACATTCCAGCCACGGAAGATCGTCCTTGGCCTCCCAAACGTCACCATAGCGCACACGGGAGAAAATATCTCAGCTGCTGTTATGGAGGTGTTGGATGACTTCGAGTTGATTGCAAACAACAAGGTTGGATACATTATTCTCGATAACGCCACAAGCAATGAAGGAGCAGTCGAAGCAATAGGCCACAAGCTTCAGTGGCAGAATCCGGCCAGCAGAAGGATCCGGTGTTTCGGGCATATTCTTCATCTTGTCGCCAAAGCGCTCCTCTTCATTAAAGACAGCATTACACTCGAGGACCTTGATGCGGACGATTTTGCAGAGTGGACAAAAAGAGGTCCAGTAGGTAAACTCCACAACCTTGTCGTCTGGGTCAATCGGTCGAATAAGGCGACAGCAATTCTGCGGAAATTACAAGATGAAGACCCTGACAAGTCCTACCCAGGCACTCTTGATGTCGTCCTTGACAACAGCACACGCTGGTTGTCTCAATATTATATGATCGAGCGAGCAATTAAGCTCCGACGCTATCTGGAGGAGCTCATTGACATTACGATTCAATCAAGCAGGAAATTTCAACGACCCCGATCTACCCGTACCCAGCCGCCAAGCCAACTTTCTCGATGTCTTGAGGAAGCAAATCTACTGAGTGAGGCAGACTGGGATGCCCTCAGTTGGTTCAGAGATATTCTTAGAATGTTCGATTCCTGTCTTTTGCGGCTTGAAGGGGACTGTCAGCTCCGAGTTCGTAAGGGAGGCGTTGAAGCTCAATATGGAATTATTTGGCAGGTTGCCGTCGCATTCGAATTCCTCCTTTCTACGCTGGAGAAAGCAAAGACTGAGGCAACGCACCGGGCGGAACCTAGTTACTATTCCTCGTGCGTCAATTCGGCCTGGGCCAAGCTCAACAAGTACTACACCAAGCTTGATGAGACGCCAATATACTATGCAGCCACGGTTCTCCACCCCGGTATACAATGGTCGTTCTTGACAAAAGCCTACGGTGAGAAGGAGGAATGGCTTTTCGCGGCACGCCAGCTCATCCAAAAGCTCTGGGAAGAGGAGTATCGCGACCTTCCCGCTCAGTGGGAAATCTCGAGCAGTAACCTTCCTGCCGCGGTGAGGGCGCGCGAGTACAATCCATTTGATTCCTTCCAAGACGAATTAATATCGTCCACCCGCCATGGCCATGACGAAGCCACAGACGAACTGGAGAGGTGGTTGTCTACAAAGCAAGACATATACACAACATACGACAATCCTCTTGAATACTGGTCTGCGAAGCGATTTGAGTATCCGCGAGTGGCGAAAATGGCGATTGACATCCTCTCTGTCCCAGCAATGGCTTCTGAGTGTGAGAGGACCTTTTCTTCCGCTGGTAGTATGGTTTCGCCCAAGAGGTCACGCTTAGATGCAAGCACAATTGCCGTTACTCAGACGGTAAGGTCGTGGTTACGGGCTGGGCTGCTAGAAGGGTATGAAGGTTTGCTGAAGGAGGTGGGCGACGACACGGCCGAGGATTAGCCGACCGTCTATCTACCGGATCTATCTACATCTACATGTAGTCTACATCTATCTATCTACATTGCAAATTATGACTAAGCATCTACATCTATCTACATAAGATGCCGGTAGATAGATGTAGATAGATTCGCCAGCCTGGCGGATACTGGGAGCGCTTTCTATGCTATTGCGCGCACATCTTGCCGCTGGGACAGGCCGGGGCCCGGGAGGAGCACGGGATCCGGTTCACGGACGAGCAGTGGGGGCATCTTGCCAATATAACCCAGCAGCTCGACATCGTGGCGGATATCATCAAGAGGAGCGAAGAGGAGGGCAAGGCAAGGGCAGGGGAAAGGGGGCGGGGAAAGGGATAAGGAAGGGGACAGGACATGGGAAGGAAAGGCAACAGCAGCAACAGCAGAGGCATGCCGATATAGATCTAGATCTAGATCTAGATCGGGATACAGATCTAGATATCGACACTGATACTGACGCTGATGCTAACACTGACGTTGATCTAGAGGTAGAGGAAGCCGATTCGGATAACCCCGAGATAGAGGCGCTTGACCGAGCCGTCTGCCGCTTTTACATCAGCTGCATCAAGCAGAAGCTAGGACGGAAGCAATATAGCAATCCGCTACTACACTTCACGGCCGTACTGGGCATTAAAGAGGACGGCAACTGGGCCCCGGCGCACTCGCATACCCTAGTAACGAATGACTAAATCAACTCTACTAGAGTTGATTTTATTGACCCACTTTAAACCTAGTAGGGTTGATTATTGCCAGGGTGTAGAGTTGATTTTACAATATTCCACATACAGAAATGGTAGTGCTGATCAGAACAAGGGATTAATACGCAACGCGACACATCCTGTTGCGTAAAGTGCTATTTGTCACGGGCTGGGCTCGGGTAGGCAGGTGAACGGGGAACGCTTCAGGCGGAATACGGTCTATTGCTACGGATAGGCACTGCAGGCAGGTCAGGCTCTAATTGACAAGGCGTAGCTCGAAGAGCTACGTTCTAGAGATATCGTATATATAGCCATATTGTCTACTATATTCAAAAGATATAAAAACATTATGCTGAGGAGTATCAACAAAAAACCCCAAGAGGCAGGGGAAGACTATCGCCGGGCTGGCATGTGTCTACTTATGAGCTATCGTGGGTAGAAGGTGTCGCGTGTCAACGATTCTTCCCCAGCAGGGCGGGCAGCTACACCCCTTTTATCCGGCTCACTTTCGGTGAAAGTGGAAATTCGCGGTCTTTCATTGGCTCACACCCCTGTACATCCTCTTTCACCGAAAAAGTGACGGGGTTGTCGCGCTTCTAGCTGGCTTTTTAATTAAGAGTGGATGATACACCTTCCCATTGGTTGGCCTCTTCCTCCGTCGTAACCTTCATAGCTAGATGTCACAGGGTAGACATTAGTAATCTAGCTATATGCTTTAAGTAACTCTGCGGGATGGAATACCATCCAGGACCACCTAGTGGGCACCCCCACCTAATGGACCACCAAAATTTCAATCTTCCCATACAAACTCCGAATTTTCAAGTACATCGCATTCAGCCAAGAACGAAGATACTTACAAACCCATACCAATGTTGTATAGCAGTTTTCATGAAATTTTAATATCGGCTTAACTTTTCTCCGTTCCGCCTCGTGGCCTAGTTCTCTAGCACTTTGAATTCTTTCGCATTTTTCCTCATCTACCCTACGCGACTCCATCCACTTAAGCCGAATTTTCACCTAATTTTCTTGTCGGAACTCCTTTCGCAATGGTTCGCCGTGTTTATACCGAAGATGACGTAGCTGAGGCTATACTCGATATTACTGATAGAGGCCTGTCACAGACGGGGGCGGCCCATAAACGTGGAGTACCTCGGTCGACCCTTTCCGGGCGACTTTCCGGTCAAGCGAGCAGGAATGAACGGATCCAGGCCCACCAGCGTATTTCAAAGAGCCAGGAGGAGACCCTCCTTCGTTGGGTGCTGCGACAAGAGTCTCTAGGCTATGCTCTCTCGCACAGCCAGCTCCGCGCCTGTGTCGAGGCCATCCTTAAACAACAAGGCGATAACAAACCTCTGGGCAAGCACTGGACCACCAGGTTCGTCAAACGTCACCTAGAACTATCTACCAAGCTTGGAAAACGTCAGGAAGCCGCCAGATTTGACGGATTTACTCCGAAGGCGGTCAATTGGTACTTCGATATCCGGGAGAACGAGTACGGCTGGATCAAGCCTGAGAACACGGTTAACGTGGATGAGGGCGGCATAATGGTGGGTTTCGGTAAGTCTTCTACAAGTACTCTATGGGTTTTTATAGGGCATAGCTAATTGATTATCCATGAGGCCTGGATAGCCTCGTAATCGGGAGCTCTGACCCGAAGAAGAAGGCGATGTTGAAAGGCGTTCAGTCGCGCACTTGGACCTCGTTTATTGAGGCTGTCACCGCAACTGGCCGCGCTTTAAAACCGGGAATTATCTTTAAAGGAAAAGAGCTGCAGAAGCAGTGGTTTCTTAAGGAATTCGAATCGATAGCGGACTGGCACTACATTACATCACCAAACGGCTGGACCGACAACCATATAGCTCTCGAATGGTTGAAAGACGTCTATCTACCCCAAACGGAGCCTCGTGATGCATCGGATGCGAGACTCATTATCCTTGACGGCCACGGGAGCCATGCGCAGGTAAGCATTTTGGTGTTTTTGCCGCAGAGTTACCCGCTATAGGGCCATTAACAAGCAGTCAGGACGAGTGGATGGCGACGTGCTTTCTGAACAACGTCTACTGCTGTTACCTACCAGCACATTGTTCCCATGGTTTGCAGCCATTAGATAATGGAATTTTTAATGTTATAAAAGGTGCGTATCGGAAAGAACTCCAAAAGCTGGCTAGTTTGACCGATTCTGCGCCGGTTGACAAAGTCAACTTTATTCGGGCATACGCGAAAGCCAGGGAGGTGGGCATGAGGAAGGAGATTATCTTATCCGGCTAGAGGTTTACTAGAAATTAGCCTATAAATCGTTACAAAGCTCTAGCACATCCGGAAATTCAACCAGACAAAGAAAAACTGCTAGAAGAGTTCAAGACGCCGAGCCCTCCTCAACTGCACTCAGATGATACGCCGAAAACGAGTCGGCAAGTGAGGGAAATGGCCAAGCACCGAAGTCGTCCGACCAGGCAGAAGTACAGTAAGATCGCAAAGGGGCTGGAAGCTTTAGAGATGAAGGTTGCCGTTCAGAATGCGCGGATTACTGGCCTCGAGGTGCAGATGGCTCAGCTGCGGCGAGGGAAGAAAAGAAAGGCGGTACCGAACCCGAACCGACGATTCATGGCTCTAGCGGAGTCTCTAGCGACTGGAGAAGCTCTTCCTGACTCAAAGGGGGCAGAAATAGAGGTGGATGTGGATGAGGAGGTCGAGTCGGTGATTGAGGTGGGTGTCGGGTTAGAGGACGAACGTGACGACTCTACGGTCGTAACAAAGCACTGCCAGCGCACACGAAGCGGTCGGGAGGTCAAAAAACCACGCAGAGAGTAAAATTCAAATAACTTTATAGAAACTCTCTTTAAAGCCTCGTTTATTAATTGAAAATCGGGCCTGTTTTTGCGGACATCAATATTTGGATTTTGTATGGGAAGATCGAAATTTTGGTGGTCCATTAGGTGGGGGTGCCCACTAGGTGGTCCTGGATGGTACCCTACACCCCACGGCAGGTATACTCGGCATTTTATTGGTGAGCACGCACTTCCACTTAACACGCGTCGCTATTTATAGTTAAGCCTAGGACGCGGCCACGCGTTTCTTCCGCGCGCCAAGATTGGTACGGACCATGTCGGCCATTGTCACCACAGGCCATTTTCTTTACCACTGTCGAGCTTGGACGGACCTACCACCATGCCTCAACAACGCCTCCCTTTTGTAAAATGGTCACAACGAAGAGAATCGCCAATCTCAGTAGACTTTTCGGACTATTCCGGCCAGCACTTACACAGCCCAGACGAAAGCGAAACACCCAAATCCCGACCTTGCACAGCCTCTACAACTTCATCCATCAAGCCCAGAACATCATGGATCTTCTCCCATATGCCGGACGAGGAGATAGAGACGAGATACTACAATGAGCGGACTGGAAAAGAAGAGTGGCGCTGCAAACACTGTGACAGAACCTATGCCTGTTCTGGGGGTACTGCGGCTCCTGCAAAACACCTTACGGACCCTCCTCCTGACGGCCACGGTCTGCCAAGAGGAGCCCCGCGAACGACTAAAGTGACAACGAGACGAACGATTCTCGAACGAGCTCGTGCTGTGGCAGAGGAAAATCCCCACAAACGTCGTCGGCTCAACGATCAACCCGGTGATTCCATCAACCCTGACCAGCTCGAAGTTTTATATGTGAGGTTTATTACGGCCTGCTCTCTCCCATTTCGGCTGGTGGAATGTCCAGAGTTCCGGGCACTCTTGGCCTACATCAATAAAGATGTCGATACTTGGCTTCCAGACACTCATGAGACTATCAGAAAATGGATCATGCGGCAGTACGAAGACCAGAAGGAGAAGGTCAAACAGCGCATACAGTCGGCCAAGTCAAGAATTCACATCAGGTGTGACCTCTGGACTTCTCCCAACTCTTTGGCCATCCTAGGCATAGTCGCACACTATGTCATAGAAGACGGTCAGCTGGAACACCATGTTTTGGCGTTGAAAGATATCGACAGTGAGCACGACGGTTCTCATTTTGCCGTGGCTGTTTTGAATGTGGTAGATGAATGGGGCTTTGCCTCCAAGCTTGGCTATTTCGTAATGGACAATGCTGGGAATAATGACACCATGATGAGATCCCTTTCGCTTGGTCAGCACAATGACTCGTTGTTTCTCCTGACTGGTGGCCCTAACATCCTGCAGGCCTCCTACGCCGATATGACATCCAATACGACCCCAAAGTGCACCGACTGCGCTGCCAAGGTCATATCATCAACCTCGCTGCCAAAGCCTTTCTTTTCATCACCGATGATGAGAAACTCGAAGTCGACGATCCTAGCGTGCATAATGTGACACTAAGACATATTGAAGCGTGGCGGAAGAAGGGGCCTCTTGGCAAGCTTCACAACTTCGTCGTTTTCATCCAACGCAGTGTCCAGCGCGGCCAAAAGTTCCTTGCCGTGAGCCATAACCACAAGCTCGCACGGGACAACGATACAAGATGGAGTTCGTGGTATAACATGTTGCGAGTGGCCCTGAACCTCAGAGATGCGATTGACGGCTATTTCAATAAATGGATGGAATCAGATTGCGCTGGAGACGAGCTCTCTCCAGAGGACTGGGTCATCTTGGAGAAGGTTAAGTCCTTCCTGGAGAAGCTGAAGATGACGACCAAAGCTCTCGAGTCATCGTTTGCAACACTCGACAATGTCCTCTTGGCCATGGACTTCGTACTGGCACAATTCGAAGCCGGCAAGGAGGCAACTATGAATGATCCGGTGATGGCACCAATGTACAACTCGGGCTGGGCTAAGTTGGATAAGTACTACCGCCTTACTGAAGAATCGCCTGCGTACGTTGCGGCTATTGTGCTTCATCCTTCGCACAAATGGCACTACATCCAGGAGAACTGGAAAGAAGAGTGGATTGAGCCGTCAAAGAAGCTGATTGAGACACTGTGGAACGAATATAAACCTATGGAACCACCGCTTCCTCTCTGCGAGGTCCCATCGACAACCACCAACGAGTTCTTGAATTGGAGGAACAAGCACTTGCAGCCGTCACTCACCATGGACGAATATGAGCGATATTGCAACTCTGAACGGGTTTATGGCTTTACGAGCGCCCTCGCATGGTGGCTAGAGGAGACACAGCAGAAAACCTACCCGAACCTGAGTAAGATGGCAGTGGATATACTGTCAATTCCTGCAATGTCTGCGGAGCCGGAGCGGCTCTTCTCTGGGGCGAAGATAACGATTACAGACCGTCGAAATCGACTTGGGAGTGATGTAATTGAGGCATTGGAGTGCCTTAAATCATGGTGTGGGATACGAGATTTCCAGGGTGACGAGATTTGAACGGGTCACGTGGAATATATTGCATGTATTGTCACACTGCCAATATATTAGCTTCTTGGCAATACATATAATACGAGTCATGTTCATATTGGATAATACAATATGCACCCCTTGACAATACAATAATATTGCGAGGGGGTTCATATTGCCAGTATCGTATTGTTTATATTATTAGCAACACTGGCTAGGATTAATTATCTGAATCAAGGTCGGCCAGGATTAATTAAGTTTCGATGATTAATTAAAGTGGAGGCAGAACACCAGATCTAGATGTTCCATGAGGCTTTCCTGCCTGCTGGTGCCTTGTTACATACGCACGTGGCTCATTTGGTGTCTATTGTCTATTGTTGCCTAGTCTGGCTGTGTATATATTAAATAGCAGTCATCATTCCAAACTAGTAGCTAGGCGAGTTGACTATCTATCAATCATCTAATCGAACAGAACGAGATACTACGAGGTAGGCCGTCAGTGAGCTCTCCATCCACTAATTGTTGCGCAGAACAGGCGTCTGGAAAGATTTCTCAGTATTCTGCTAGAGTTGTCTCCAGATGTCAACCACCTCTGATAACGCCGACACTAGTAAACAACATGGCCTCTGCCGATTCATCTTCTGTCTCTGCCAACGATCACGACTCTCTTTCCTTTACAGAGAAGCCTACTGAGAACTTGGACACAGCTGGCGAATCTCCTCAAGCCTCAGAATCCTCCTCTACTATAGCATCCAGAAAACGGTTTCGTACCCCTACAGCAACTGACATCTGGACAGAGAGTCGTCAGCCAAGCAGCAAAGAACCCGAGCGCAATAGGCACGGTCAGAAGATATGGTATTGCAAACGCTGTACCTACTCCCAGACTGCTCACAACCGAGTTCGAGGCCATCTCCGGGATAAGCATTACATCCAAATTTCCGAACAACCTACGGCTAAGAAGCTTGGTCAGAACAACGCAATTGACAGACTGTTTAGACTGCAAGCTGCGAGACAGGAAGGGCATGATATTGAGCAGGAGAAACACCTTCTCGCTGCGGTTGATGAAAGATTGTATAACCAAGCGCTAGTCAACCTCCTTACCGCCCATAACCTTCCACATAGCCTCGTTGAGTGGCCGGAATGGTACGCTCTCCTTCACACAGTCAATTACATGGCCCCTAGAGTTGTCACACAAAGCCGTGGACAAGTCCCCAAATTACTCGAAGAGGGATTTACGACCCATCGTCAGACACTGATAACAAAGCTGAAGTTCTCGCTTGCACAAGTGCACTTTAGTATTGATATCTGGTCTTCTCCCAACCACCACAGCCTTCTTGCCATCGTGGCCCACTTTATTAATCTAGACAGCCGGCAGTTATGCAAAGCCTTGCTCGCTCTTAGAGAGCTCGAAGGTGCTCATAGTGGTGAGGCTATTGCGGAGACTTTCCTCCGGGTCATCAATTCCTACGGAATACAGGATAAAATCGGATACTTTACCCTTGATAACGCCTACAACAACGACACAATGTTGCAAGCCGTAGCCAAAGCCTGTGGTTTCAATGCCGCCCACCGCCGACTCCGCTGTAACGGCCATGTCATCAATCTGGCAGTGCAGGCGTTCCTGTTCGGTAAGAATAAGGACGCTTCCGATGAGGCACTGCGTCAGGTGTCGCAGCTCTCATACGACGAACAGGAAGGTGCTGTTGAAAGGGCAGAGACAGCAACTACCTGGCGACAATATGGGGCACTTGGGATGCTTCATAACCTTGTGGTATGGATACGCTCATCAAGTCAACGCTATCAGGCGTTCTTGAAAGTTGCTGTCCGCATGATTCCTCAGGATAACTCAACCAGATGGAACTCTTGGTACCTTATGGTTCATGTTGCCATCACACTGCGCAAAGAAATAAATAGCTTTCTCGACGATTACTACATGGAGGGCGATATCAAGCTTGATTATCTCCATCCTGAGCATTGGCAGGAGCTTCAGGAGATCCACAGCTTTCTACAACCATTCTATGAGATTACTAAAGACACCCAGTGGGACAAATCATCACTAGATGAAGTGATTTGTTCTATGGATTTTCTTATCACGCACTATAAAGCTGCCATGCAGCAATTTCAACACGATATTACGATGGCCGATCGAATCATGACCAGCTGGTACAAATTCGATGACTACTACAAGCGTACAGATGATTCCCCAGTCTACGCGGCTGCAATCCTGCTCCATCCTAGTCTCCGACGAGCGCATCTTGATGAGGCGTGGAAGGACCAATCGCATTATATAGCCCCGGCAATTGATGCTGTACGCAAGCTATGGGAAGGGTTCAAGCCAGTCCAAGTACTGGAAATGGAGGAGGATCTTTCGGCTTATGAGGCATATAAGAAGCGGATCTATCAGCAATCATCTTCTCATGATGAATTCGATCGGTTTATCGAGGGTCCACCTCTGCCTATCGGTGCTTCTTCCGCCCTTTCGTGGTGGCTCGAACCAACCCAACAAACATCTTATCCTCACCTACACCGCCTTGCGGTCAATATCTTTTCGATACCGGCTATGTCAGCTGAGGCTGAACGAGTTTTTAGTGGAGCGCGACGCACAATCACTTGGGACAGGAGCCGTTTATTGGTGAAGACTATAGAGTATACGGAGTGCTTAAAGCATTGGATTAAGAATGGACTACTGGACCAGGCCTTCAAGACCCCCGAGGCAGTCGGTGTCCACTAGCGAAGGGAATTTTAATTGCTAGGGGAATTTTAGCATAGTAGCTATCGTTATCCAACGTCAAGTGGTTATTGAATGGTCTTTACAAGTATTGGTAACTAATTAATCGCTGAATCACTAATTAATCATTGAATCCAAGGGCCGGATTCAATAATTAATCTGAATCCGACCTTGGATTCAGATTAATTGATTAATTACATCAGTGCTCTCTGTATTTGCTAGTGGTACGCTATGGGTTGAAGGCAGTGAGGCTTCATTATCCCAGAGCCTTACACTGATGGATGCTATCCTCACCTTCTTTGAGGATCAGAAGGTTTATCCTATTTCATCAAGACAATGCTTAAAGCTGATGTTTTATAGGTGCTATATAAATCAGGCCCAGAGATGGACCTCCGCATGGTTCATTCTATTGAGATGGGCTGGTTTATCCTTGATAAATACTACGCACTCGTTGAGTCAACGCCAGTATACGCCGCCGCGATGCTTCTCGATCCCTCGAAGCGGAAGCATTATCTTCTTCAGAACTGGCCTGAAGAGTGGCATCAGAAGACTATTGATGCTGCTTATTCGATCTGGCAGAAGCAATACGCGCATCTCCCTCATGAATCACTCCCTGCTGCTGCTGCTGATATCGATACGTCTCATCCATCCTCGAAGAAGAGGATAGAGAATGAATTAGACCGGCTGAAACGTCGTCTTAGAGTTCAACCTACTTCGCAAGAGGATGAAGATACGTTTACGGCGTTTATTGAAGATAAAACTATCGATCTTGATGCTCTAAAGATAACTCCTCTTCAGTGGTGGTTAGTTCCAGAGCAGCGCCGGCGCTATCCTCGTCTCCACCGTATGGCCATCAATATTCTCTCAATCGCACCCTCCTCCGCTGAACCAGAACAACAATTCTCGGGCGCACGCCGTACGCAGAGCTGGGATAGGCTTAGGGTTATCGCCAGAGAACCTCCAGAGGTTAGAGTGCATGGGCAACTGGTTCGCGAGGAAGCTCATCTCTTCGGAGGAGCAGCTAGCGATGATGGTAGAGGCTGTGGAGATGGATGATGAAATGAATATTGATTTCGATGAAGAGGGTTGGGTTGTATAATACAAGGTGGCTTATTACGAAGAATTGAGCATATATACAGCATCTGCCTTCCCTACCTACCTTATAGTCTATCCACCAATCTACCCACTCTACCCGGGTAGGGTAGAGGAGACCACTCCTCTACCTGGGTAGGGTTAGAGAAGTGGGTAGAGCTCCCTCTACTCTACAATACCCAAGTATGACCGGCACTGGAAAATAGACCGACACGGACCTGTGCCCGCACGCTTACATGTTGGCCTTGCAATATCGCATTTTAATTGACCACACCCCCTCATCGTGACGACAGTGGAGGCCCCCACGCACTGAGGAGATGAGGCGTATCCTCCTGGGCGGAATAAATTCATTCATTCATTCGACATGTTGGTTGATGGCGGTTGTTATCACCAACTCGTTCCCATTCTGTTTTCAGTTGGGGCTTCGGGCACGGACCCATCACGTCTCCACCGCTAAGCCCGGTCCTGACAAAGGCCCACTATAACTATGCGTTCCGCTACTTTGGGCAACGTCGACCGGGGCGAGTTTTGATGGCTCCACCTTGTCAATGTGGCTACATATGTTGGGGGGAGAAGATCTGCAGGGTTCTGCAGCTTCGGCCTGGTTAAAGGTCGTCCTCGCTTCCACAGCTATGGCCGTGGGTTGAGCCCGGCCCCCCAATGTTGTGGCTCGGATGTAAGATGTTAGCTGTTGTTTACGTAGGAGAAAACAAAGTGTGAGGGCCTTGCAGGGTTTTGGAAGGACTAAATATGACAGATGTTGGCTTGCATGCCCAAAAGCAGCATGTTGCATTGAGAGGCTGAACAAAGGGGGGCAACAAGGCCGATGCAGGGGTCATGGCAGCATGGATCTTATCTTCCCTTAGCTCCGCGTCAGTTCGCTAAATCAAGGGTCAACGCGCAGACGTAAGTTCTATATCTCTGCGAAAAGCGATGTGACATGCGAACGTGTTGATTAAACTTGCATGCATGTGCTCTTCCACCAGAGACTATAATTTGGTTCTCATCCGGACTCCTATTTCGAAAGTGAGGAAGATATGGACAAAGAGAAGCCACCTTATCATAGACTTAATCCTATTGTGTTTATCCTTTCGTCAGACGCTGCTACTCTCTCAGTCCACGTACATATCAACAACTTCCTCGCCGCTGTCTCTTGCCTGTACTATGAAAGTCTCTCAGACACCGCGGGGAGGCGGAGGGTGATCGGAGACATTTTTGTGTGACCGGTATCCGGCACCTACCACATGTTGACACATCATACGGGCTATCCGCTCGAGTGTTTAGCTCGGTCAGCCGCCTTTGGAAACTTGACCACTCATAAGGCTAGGTACTTCACCCTCTGCACACGATCATCAAATTCATGACCCTCGATTCCCCCAACAGCTAGCACCATGGGCCTCAGCCCAATCGGGAATGCATGCAAGTCTTATGACCGCGCTAGCGTGTGACAACTCACTTCGGGGCCACGGAGCTGGAACTGGATGCGCATTGACCTCCCCCCCTAATTGCTCGATCTCGATCTTATCTAGGGGAAGAGAATGTGAGCCGCAGAGGTGACCTTGTTGCTTCCGTCGCTCAGCCCCTCAGTGCAAGATGTTGGTTTTTGGGCTTGTGATGGGCCAACATGTATGACATCTAGTCCTTGCAAACACACTGCAAGGCCTCTGCCTCCACTCTCTATAGGGAAAACTGTACAAAACGTCCTTAGCTAAAGCAGATAAAAATTCCGATTCCTATCCCGTCAATTGTCGAAAGGCTCCCGAAAGTACCTTGGCCCTCAGGGCCCCTGTCACATAACAGGTACGTGAGGGGAACCTACAGACGCAGCATTAACCATTCTCGCCAAAATCGTCATACAGATCTTTCCAAAGTCATCTATGAGTTCTCAATCAATACCGGGCGAGGCCCTCACGAGCCAAAAGGATTAGCGCCGGCGTATTTATAACGAGCTGTTTAAAGCGTTCCATAAGGAACGTCAGTCAAGGCAGAAGTTTCCGACCGGTCAAAGCATGGCAAGAAATGCTACAGATCAACTGCCCGTACTACGCGCAACTACGGAGATTCGTGTTGAGAGACGGACTTGCCATTTCGCAGGCATGACGGGCCTTTCTCTCAGTCCACATCCAGCCATTAGCCAGTAGGAAGCGGCGTTTGAAACATCGGGGTCTGTGGTTCAGGCATTAGCGAATTGGGGCTAGCAGAGGGCAGGGGGTATCACACCAGCAGCAACCTTGGATCCTCCACCTGGGATGCGACCTGTAGTGATTTAGGCGCAATATCTAAGATGAATAATATTAAAATCTACTAATCTCAGAAAGGATGCAAGGTGCGGTTCGATCTGGGGTTGGGCAATTGCCAAGTGAAGCAATGAAGCGCAGAAGGCTCGCTCCATCGAGGTCTCCCCAGCTGCCTTGTGACCGTTAAGCCCTGTAATCCATGGTCGAGCCCAGAACCCCGGGGAGGCGGGGGTCATGGGCTTATGCTTGGGGTGGCCCGAGATTCAAGGGTAAAGGTCAAAGTGGTGTTGTTTATATTGCGCAGTAGTGCTGGGTGAAAAAATATATTTTGTAAAACTTGATTGTTAATTATTGAGATGAGAGTTCTTGGGTTTATATCTCTAGATGGTTTCATCTAGGACTTTGAACTCTAAATCTAGGACTTTCAGACTAACAGTCTAAACCCTGAAGGGAAGGGGGATCCCCGGATTTTCCAACAAGTGGTGGGAAAGAGCCTATTCTGTTATAGGCGAAAAATACCTACACTCCGCGTCATGGCCCCGAATAGATGTCTGCAGATAATCAATAGCCTCCAAGGCTTGCTGGGCTCCCGTGGCCACGGTTCCTGTTTGACGCTGTATTTAGGTCAACTCGGTGTGCCTCGTCTGCATCCTAAGCACTTGCAAAGGGCTATTCTAGATACCCGAACCCGAACCCGCTTCCTCTTCAGGCCTTTGGTCTGAGCGCGACGACATAGACATACTGTAGTTAGAACAGGACGTTGGTGACACGGAACGAGGTATGACATGAGGTTTCAGGGCCGGTACAAGCGTGTTAAGGTCCAGTCGGTTGACTTGACCCCACTGTCGGTTTGACGCACAAGCCCGCGCGCCCACCCCACCAAATCCATAACTCGCACACCAATGATGAGAGAGCGAGAGCTGAAACCGTGTTAGCTTAATCTCAATATTGGCCCCCAGTCTTACTTTGCATTCCTGGATCTCCCACCTAATACACCCTTCTACACTTGTGGCAGCGCAACGCTCTCTTGCAACGTTTGTGCTCACACGCATAGCAGGCGGACCTCTTCCCTCTTATCAACCTCGCCCTGGCCCTGGCTCTACTACATGTTCCTCGAATCCAGCACTTGGAGGTATTCGATCGACATCGACAACCTTTTATTTATTTATTATTTTTACGGTATACACCGAACCATATACGACCGCAATCCGGCATCATTAGAACTTGGCCGTCGCGAGTCGCCTTGACTTCCTAGATCGCCTGGAACTGACTTGCGAGTTTCTTGGCTAGTTGTTTGATATTGTGGAGCCCCCCGATCCTCCCTCTAGAACCTGGGCCTGGACAGGAGACCGGCCTGGATCAAACGCAAGGCTCAGCACCTCTTCTAATCCACTAGAACTTGCTGTATTAACACATATTATCAAG